AGTAATTAAGAGGGGGAAACTGCAGGCATAAGCTTGACAGAAAGATTTCTAGAAAACTCCACCACTATCTGTGGCCTATCCATTACGTGTTTTCTGGTCTCCAACTGTATGGGACTTTGTACACCAATATGTGCAACATGAATGTTATCTAGAAGCTAACTGGCAGCCAGTGCAATTTTCTCAGCGGTGACCTACTATGACAGTGATAGTCTGCCCAAGGGAGCAGTTGAGATGCTGCATTTTCTGCTAGCTGCACCTTCCAGGTCAGCCACGAGGACAGCATTGCAATCCATTCTGGAGGGTGCCAGCAAATAGAGAACAATGGTCTGGATTTTCTGATCCAGAAACAGTCGCAGCTGTCTTGCCAACCAAAGCTGGCAAAAGGCACTCCTAGCCATTGGAGTCACCTGGCCCTCTAGCAACGTAGATGGACGCAGGAGTGCCCTCAGAATCTTGGCCCTTGCTGCCCCTTTGAGAATAAGAATAGTGTTAAGCGTTTCTTGTGCTCCTTGCTCCTTGCACTTGAACATCTAAAGTCTGCCAAAGTAGCTGTAGCCTATGCAAATGCATCTTGTATTAAAGCGAAGTCTCAGTAGGCTTAAAATAACTTTCCCCTTATTGCTTTCTCTGTTCTGGAATCAGAGAAACCTGGTCTATGTATGCAGAATGATCTTCTTCATTATTTCCTACTGGGGTTAAGCACTTTTTATCCAAGACAAGCTAATGCTGATCTCTGTAAACGCTATCGGAGACAAGGAAAAGAAACCAGCGCATCCAATTGACATGAGTGCCCCCTGGAGGCTATCTGTCACAAGAGAAGCACACCCTGATTCTGCTCTTCAATATTTTTCAGCAGTTAGTTATAAGTCTAGGCCTGATTATCTGAAATGCTGGAAAAGCTAACAACTCCAGCTTTCTGTGGCTAAGTTAAACAAAAACTAATTGCCTGATATTTTTTGTACTGAGTTTAGCCGGCTTCCCATTGCTACTAGGATCAGGAAAGCAGGATTTAACCCCGTCCCACATCGACCAGTTCCCCCAATGTAAATGCTCTCCCAGGGGATATTTGCTTTGCAGTAGGGGAGAGGTGCTTGTATTCCTCTTTCCAAAGCAAAGAGCAACTTATCGGGGGGGGGCGCATTCTATAACAGGAAATGGCGTAAGACCAGGGTTAAATGGCCCCATGCTATTGCCCCCAACAAATGAGCAGTCCCACGCACTACCCTACTCCTGTGGGACCATCTGATTCAACAGAAGTCAGAGCGTTAATCACAAACCTCTCAGTGTAACATGTAGTTTTGCCTCAGCTCTCAAGTCTCTCCCTGAAAATGATTCCTAACAGAACAGAGGGCATTTCATTTCAAATAACTGTTTGGACTTTTAGACTTGGGCACAGTTGAAATCTAATCTACTTAGGTCACAGCCCTGTTATGCGACCTTGGAATGCCAGCTGAATCTTGTACACCAGGGTTTTGTTCACATCTACTGGAGGCAGCAACAAGGAATGGCAAATCTGCATGCCCACATCAGGGCTTCAGGACCGCGCACAGGAGCCAGCGATTTATGTATCATTTGCTAACACTTTTAAGTGTTCATGGCCCCAGACTCAAATTGCACCATCCCCCACTCTGCAGATCATTGGAAGTTATCGTTTTTAAAAACCATGTTTTCATGGCTTTGAAACATAATAAGGTGGAAAAATGCAAGTCTTCATGTGTTCTTCTGGCTTTACACCAAGAATGGAAAAGAGGTCTGGAAAGTAGGACTTTTCAGTGGGCACAAAGGTAAGCAAGTCACCATGGACAGACATTCGTCCATCTGCTCTCACATACGTACTTCCCTCCTGTTTTCCACATTCCCAACAAAAAAGATGGCATTAGAAATTCCATAAATGTATACATTAGAAATCCCACGTAGGGTAACAAAAAAAAGCAGCAGGAAACACATGCAGGTTTTCCTTCTTGCTTAGATGAATTTAAAAAAACCACCCAAACACACACACAGAAAAACTGAGTTTTCACATTGCCAAATCTAGGAGTGTATAGTTTTTTAAAGCAAGAACAGCGTTAGAAGATTCCTTGGAAGCATCTCTTGAGCTGAATGGGGCTTGGAAAATTTCAAAGCCCTATAAAGCACAGACCACCTCTTTTCAAACTCTGATCTCTTACCTAAAGATGCTGAAGATCTTCTCTGCAACTCCCCAGAGGGCTGGGTTTTTTTGTAAGGTACAGGTGACGACCTTAGCGACTGCGACCTCAAAGTATGTTGCGGACTTGACCAACTTGCATTCAGCGTCTGTTGATCACCCTGTCCTGCCTCTGCTCTCTCCACGGAGGAAGCAAGACGACCATCATCTAGAAAGAGGAAGTGTTAGTCTAATCAATGTTGAGATATGTGAACTGGAAAACTACCTTTTTATATTATTCTCAAATAAATCAGACACTAGCGTTTGTTCACTCATAAGACATGACTTATGAACCTGGGAAAGATCGTCCCACCTATTGAATAGGTGTGTGTACAAAATATACGCAAAGCAGAAATGTCGTTATTTTACATCCCCTTCTCTAGTATACCAGTATTTACCAGATTTCTCATAAATCTCTCTAGAACCACAGTTCCCACACTGAGTCATAGTGAAAGACTTAGATCTAAAGAAAGAACTCTTTGGCAGCCCAATCTTCGGCATTTCCCACCTCCCGAAATAAGTCCCACTGGGCTTACCTCTTTAAAAACTTATCATAGGCCAGCAGCCTGTTATATATTGCCAGCACAAACAGTGCTTAGGCTGCCAGCGCTCACCTACAACTCTTATTAGCAAAAGAGAGAAGAAAATCAGGACCAAACCTTATTTATGGTTCTTCAAAGACAGTTCCAAGGAAACAGTCCCCTCACTCTGCTCCCAACAATTCCCACCGTCCATCACTTTAAGTAACAGGGGAAAGGAATCATGGAACTACAAACTGCATCTAGCAAGAGCAGTAGGTCTGCACCCTGCCTCTCATAACTGCTAGTACCAAGCCCCAGTTTCAGAGCCAAACCTCCAGAGGGTGCAAAGACACATCAGACTTTCCAGCAGGAAGTTCCAGGCCAATGGCATTCTAGGCAGCTTATAGCTATAAATTCAGGTGTTGGGGGATCGCAACCCACAAGTTACGAAGCAATGAGGAACTAGTTCTTGGCTTCAGTACCTCCCAGTTCCTTTGGTCTGGGAGGCCCTCCTTCTTTGGCCACTTGTTTCTCATGCCTACAAGAATTACCATCACAACCTGGAAGCTTACTGTTGACTGGGGCTGGTCATACTTGGAGGAAAAAGCACAACTTGTGACTCACTTTATTAAACAAAAAATTAGGACAGTGAGAATTTCTTTTGCGTTGTCAGGCGAGACCAGGTCTCTTAACCAAAGGAAATGTTCATTCGCTGCCTTCCCGAACCATGATTCTTTTCATCCACCAATACTCTCAAAAAGGATGAGCTACTTCACCTACTTCTTCAAGTTACTCCACTTTTAATCTTATTTTGGGTTCCATTGAACCTCCTTATTCCTATAGAAAAAACTTTTCTCTTTAGAACAGCACTGGCTGAGCGAAATAACCAACACGGTTCAGAAATCAGGGGAATGAGGAAAGAGGTGACAAGGAGAAGCTCTAGCTAAAGTTAAACAGAGATTCCAGCTCCACAGTCAATCACTGGGGGGTCCGACATCTGAGGAGGCAAAAAAGGCAGTGTGGAGTACCTTTGGGTGAAAATCCCCCAAAGTTAAACAAATTGTGGGTGCAACATACACTTGATTAGAGAATACTTCATGAGTGAACCTCAACTTGAATCTGAAAAGGTCCAGGCTACACATGAGTGTTGTTTTTTAAACAAAAGACACAGTTGATGAGTTTTCCTAGATCAACCAGAGTCATAAGAGTTATATCTTCTGCCTGAGGACTTAAAGCAAGACACAGGGGCACCCCTGACTGTCAGGTCTTACTTTAGTGACATGCTCATTTCTCTCCTGAAAGAGGACGCATGTGAGCCTCTTCATAAATATAGTAGAACAGACACTTGTTCGACTCAAGGAAAGATATGCTGACTGACTGGTACCCATTAACTCACAAAGGATGATTAACGACACAGTTACAGGCATTGTTTGTATTAGATATGGCACTGGGACTGGAGATCAACTAGGCAATTACAACCTCGTGCCTGGGATCAATGTCATCTGCCACCATAGGGGCTCTTGATGGTCTACCACAATGACACAGCCATTGCTCAGAGCAAACACAGTCTTGGGGCGTGCTCAGAGTTCCAGAACTCAGTAACATGGGGACCTATATTTGTGCACCCAGACCTGCACATGCAAGCCAGACACTGGATACGATTATCCACCTTGGCAAACAAGTCACCCACTTTGGCTTGAATGCTTGGAGGTAGAGGGCAGGGGCAGTGGGAACAAGATGAATCCATCCTAGAACACACTCATTTCACAAAATGGGCATCTGCACAAGGCTGGTTACAACAACCATGTGCAGTCCATGCTACATTGCACTAAAATGACTGCATTGCACTTAATACTAGGGTTGTGTGTGCAAGCCTCAAGCTCTTGGGCTCTCCCTCCTCCTCTGGTGCTGCTGTGAAGAGACTGGAAGCTTTCACTCAATTTTCGTCTAACCACAGTTTCGTGTTACATGCTAACCAGGAACTATGGTTAGTGTGAAGTTGGCTTGTTTCAATAAACCAGTTAGTTTAGTGTTACATGTTAATGAGCCCAATGGCATGTGGTTTTTGCATGCTTTGAGTAAGCTGTTCCCACTTTTGGCAGCAAGTCTTCACTCATAACTATTAATCAATCAACGTACAGTCATGGAAGGAAGTTAGTACTTACCTCTACTGAAACGAAAGAGATTCACGAAAGAACTATAGGCAGATTTAAATGGCGGTTCATCCTGGTCAGGAGTCAAAGGTTTGAAGTGCGTAAGGTGAGACGGGCTGCCAGGAGAGTAGGGCAGGTCGTTCAGAGTGTCCAACGTCGGAGATGCTTTGTCATCTGTGGCCATTTCATGGATCCTAAGAAAATTGAAGATGCACATGTAATGCCCCAATGAAACATAAGCCACTGCATGTTACCGTCCTGCTGCTTAAGAATTCTGCTTTTCACAGTTTATTCTGATGACTTTTATATTATTTAAAGTGTCCCCTGGTGTGGTAACACTGAAGGGTGGGATATAAATTCCAAAGAAGATCCAGTTTAGGAGGAAGAACAGGTAGTCAGCTTAAAAGAGGTACCAAATATGATGCAGTCAGAAGTGAATTCAGAAATAGGGACGAAACTGGAACAGAGTAGCTAAACAATTATTCACTTTTGAAAAAGCACATTCATGACTTTAGAGGAAGTACTAAAACCAGATGATTCAGAAGAAAAGTAAGACTCTCTGTCTCATAGCAATAAGGAAGTGAAGTTTGTCCATTATTTGAACAACATAGTAAAACTGTCCAGAGAAACCAGTTTGCGTTTCAAGTTGGGCGCAAATTAGACACAGGGGCAGTAGGCCTGATCCTGATTAATTCAGACCATAGTGCCCAGTTGCTGACAAAAGAGAACTGTAGCTTAAGTTAGCAAGGATTGATCTATCAATCTGTTTTTTTTCCCCATAAGATATTTATTAAGGTTTTTTGAAATATTACAGTGAAAATGAAAAAGAAAAAAGAAAAATACAAAATAAAAACAGTTAAAAACACACATATTTTCTATTACTTATTTTCCTTTAGCTTGTTTCCCGGACCTCCTCGTACCTCCTTTTTTGTATTCCACTTCAATTTATTGGTTCAGCAAATCCTTACCATTAGATTTTAACCCATTTATAACCCTTTTTTCATATTCTCTTAGAGCATTACAGCTGGAAACCGCTTAACTACTATCCAACATCATTCTATCATTCATTAATTTTACAATATTTCTGTAAATAGTCTTTGAATTTCTTCCAATCTTCTTCCACCGACTCTTCTCCCTGGTCTCGGATTCTGCCAGTCATTTCTGCCAATTCCATATAGTCCATCACCTTCATCTGCCATTCTTCCAAAGTGGGTAGATCTTGAATACTTTGCAATGAGTATTCTTGCTGCTGTTGTAGCATACATAAAAAAAGTTCTATCCTTCTTTGGCACCAATTGGCCGACAATGCCCAGAAGAAAGGCCTCTGGTTTCTTCAAGAAGGTATATTTAAATACCTTTTAATCTGAGTTACCTTAGGCTATAGTCTCCTGTTACAGGAACGGCCAGCCAGATCCAGAACTCCCCTTCACTCTGTGCACCACTGTCAGAAAGGTGGGGCACACACCTGTCTATCACTTGACATCATGTGATGCCATGCAACTCACCTTTAAACCTGAGGCTTGCAAATGAAGACTCAGGAGTGCATTGCAAGTGCACTCTCAGTTCTTTCCCTTCCTCCTTCACAGCTCCATCGTGACTTCAAGCCGCAGTGGCAAAGGAAGATTCTTCCCAGAAGACAGAAAAGGGCACCAAATTCCAAAAGCCCTGAATTCTACCGGGGGCTAGAAGGGAAGAATACATAGCATATATCAGAGTGTGCTCCCAAGTCTTCCTGTTTGGTTTAGCTGGTCCAAGCCCAACATTGTATGGTGTCAGGGGATTGACAGGTTGGTGGTGCCACAGACCAAATGGGGAGCCTTGGCGGGCACCATCAGTTCTGCAGGCTGCTCACCGCTGTTTCAGAGCAAAGGAGGCATGCAGAAGAAAACACCCCCCAGGTCCTCTCTTTCAGTGTTTTTCACACATGTGAGTTCCTTTGGGTACAAAAACTCAGCTGAAGGAAAAAGCACCTGGGGGAAACTGCGAGGAGTTAAGGCATAACTTGGGAAGGGTTCAGCTCCCCACATGCACATACATACATCTTTTGCTCCAAAAAAAGGTCTCCCCCCCCCTCCATTTTGGACATGGTGTGAGTTCTTTTCCTTAACTATGCCTCAAATGGTGGAATTATTTATTATAGAAGTTTAGTTGCTTATGGTGAAATAGTTATGAGCTACCTTTCTGGGTACTCTTTCAACATGGCATTTTAAAAGTGCTAATACAATTATCAATAATACAGAAGACAAACACTACTGCAATCCCTCCACAATTAATTAATTAATTAATTAATTATCCAGTATAATAAACAGCTAAAAACCAAGCATGCAACTCAGCCAAGAATGCCGCTCGTATGCATAGGCCCATCTGAAACAGGCAGGTCTTCAAAGCCTCCTGAAAGAACTGAAAGTACCCACATACTTTGCAGTGGCCAGAAGCACCAAGAGAGATGTGGGCGTTCCTCCTGGAACTTTTGAATAAGCTATTTGGGAGGTGGGCTATGAGGGCTTCCCCTGAAAGGCAGCATGTATGTACCTCAAATAAATCTAAATAATCCTATTAAGATAGCCTATATAAATCTCTCTAAAGTTCAGATGCACACATAAAAGGGAAGTTCTGCAAGCTACAAGTTGGTAACGTTTCAAGCTCTCTTTAGACAAAGATAAAGGGTCGGCTCCTCTAACGCCTGCCCCACCCCCAAGAAAAACCCAGCACACGAGTTGTCTGTGAAGTTGTGCTGCTTTGTGTGTGCTCAGGAACAGAGGATGGAAGAGAGGCACAAGTCCTCACTCAGCCTGCCAGAGCAGGGAACTCTGATCCCAGTTTCCTCCCCCTGCCTTCCTCTATCTTCAGGAATTGGGGAAGTTGAGCAGGATCAGTTCCTCATCCCTTCAAGTGCCCTCACCACCAAGCTGTCAGGCTGTGTAACAGCTCACAGGATAGCACCCCTTGCAGCATTCTGTCAGCTGCTGACACTCACAGGAAAGGGAAGGGGGAAGGGGGAAGGAAAAGAGAAGCAGGGAGAAGCAGGGTCAGGCACAAGGAGGTCGGAAGAAGATGTGAGTGCATAGAAGAGCACACAAATGCAGGTTGGGGGAAGACAGGTGGGGCAGCTGCAACAAATTCCTCATTTGTTTTCCTATTCAAGTGAATATTCCTTTACAATTGCAGATTCATATTGTGAACAGCTATGGCTTAACTCACCATCAGGCTTAGCTGACAAGACAGCCATCCGGAAAACAAAACAAAACACCTAAATATGGAGCAACCACCAACACAATTTACATCACAATTTCCATAGTTACTGTTTTAAGCCGGTTGTTTTCCCCGATAGAGGATGACAGGGCAAACTGGATCACTTAGTCAGAAGTGACTTCTGCATTAGTAAACTGCAGATGAACCAGAGTCCTACCAAACTCGTGCAAACTCTAGAACTGTTTTGTGCTGTGTGAGCTCTTCCCGAAACACCAGTATAGCTTCCTTTCACCATAATTCTAGAGCAGGCCCAGAACAATTTCATCAAGTGAGGCAGCGTAGGACTGCTAGTGCAAGGTCGGAAATTCATGTGCCAGCTAGCATAGGTCAGGAAAACATAGCTAAGTGTAAAAAGGTAAAGGTAAAGGGACCCCTGACCGTTAATTCCAGTCGCGGATGACTCTGGGATTGCGGCGCTCATCTCGCTTTATTGGCCGAGGGAGCCAGCATTTGTCCACAGACAGCTTCCAGGACATGTGGCCAGCATGACAAAGCCATTTCTAGTGAACCAGAGCAGCGCACAGAAATGCCGTTTACCTTCCCGCCGGAGCGGTACCTATTTATCTACTTGTACTTTAATGTGCTTTCGAACTGCTAGGTTGGCAGGAGCAGGGACCGAGCAATGGGAGCTCACCCCGTCGCGGGGATTCGAACCACCGACCTTCTGATCGGCAAGCCCTAGGCTCAGTGGTTTAGACCACAGCACCACCCATGTCCAATAGCTAAGTGTAGCATGGGAATATTCTGTCCTGCCCAAGAGACTCTAAGGAAAAGAAACAGAACAAAGATATCCATGCAAAACTGGGGTCAGTTTTGCCCACTTAAGATGCACACAGCTGCAGCCCCAAACCATAACTTTGTGATAAGTTTTACAACAGGTTATGAATAGAAGAGCTTAACTCGTGGGCCGGCATTATGCTGAACATCTCTCAGCCCTGCTCCACATCACTGCCTGCTGATATGGGAATGGGAGGTAAACTACACAATGTAATGATTTCAGGATAAGTGAGATCTTGGAGGAGCCAGAAACTCCATTTTTCTTATAGTGTGAAGTTACATCAGTCTCACCCCGCTCACTAGGAATAATCATTTGAATGCCACTTCTTAAAAGTCAGCTCAACAAAGCTTTGCAATTATTAATTATTATTAATTACTTGCCCTTCCCCCTTAAGGTACCAGGGAAGGTTACACAATAATTAAAATGCAATATTAATAACTGCTTAAAACAACTTACAATCACAGAAATAAAATGGGTCTTAAAAATATACATCCCAAGCATCAAAAGCCAAAGTATTAAACACTAGCCCATATTTTTATACACACTAATTTAGTCCTACATTTAAGAACTACCCTCCTCTGCCAACCCTCTTGCTTGCCACATGAAGTTACTTGTTATGCAGATGTGACAGTTTTAGCAAATGCAGGTCATCATAAAGAAGTTATATGACAATTAAGTAAATTGCAGAGGGACCCCTGTTAAATCTCTCATTACTCTCAACAATAGCTTATCAAAGCTGAAAGGATTAATGAGATTTATGGTTGCTCTGGTCAATAGTTCAAAAATGCATTCAATTAAACTGCAGTAACTGCTTTACCAGGAATGAAAAAGTATATGCGCTGCTCAAGCCAGGGGAGAAGGGGATTCCATTTTTGTCTGGATTTTAATTTAATTCTCAGTTTAATTCAAGACCACTTCAAGATATTAATTAATATCTATTAGACGCTTAGATTATTAGATGCTTAGAGCTATTCAACATACTTAACTTGAGACAGCTGACATCTGTCTCTAGAAACCGAAGGGTACACTATACTGTACCTCCCAATAAATTCCCGCATGTTGCTAATCATTGCTGGCATGTTAGGCTTTAACACAGAGGTAAACACTCACCAAAAAATAAAGATGTAACACAGAACAATTCCTAGCAAATTTAAGGACATTCACTGGATAAATCCTGTTGATCCAAATGGAAGGGGATTTCCAACACATATACCAAAGTAATGTTCTCTCCACCTCTCTCTCACACACAAACACAACAGGGTGATAATATTTCATCACACTCTCAGCAACCTTAAAAATAAAGATTCCATTCATTGTTAGTCCAAGCAATTGATGCTGTCTAATATAGTCATGAGAATATTTTTTTTACAAGCTCAACAAAGCAAAGATTGTAGCAGGTTTTGATTCAAGCAACAGCCACTTCCTCCTTTCCTGCTACAGTTTGCCCTACTAGTGGGTCACTTGGATATATTTCTTCAAAGGAGAAAAAACTGCATGCATATTTTACATTTCTCTACACAAACTATTCCAGGCTTGCATCTTAAGACCAGCTACTCTCTTGAAGACAGGTTCCAACAATTATTCGACCTTGGGGCTCTTTTTGTGACAATACTCAATAGTACAAAGTACCAACACCTCTCTTTCTTACTGCCCAGCCACTTTCTGCTGGCACCCATGGCACCTATATCAATATATGAGTAGCAACACCTCTTTTTCTTTCTTTTTTAACCAAAGCAAGAGTTTTCCTGAAATTGCTGCCCTACTTTCAGCTTTAAAGGGTGGAGTTCTCACACTGGCCACCCCAAGTTTTATAACAGAGTGCCCCCACTACAAAATGTGCTGTAGTCATTGCGGTCAAGTTAACGAGTGTTGGATCCGGACTCAGATCCTCTCCCAATCATCCTACAATGTGATCTTGTACAAGTCATCTCTCAGCATCAGTTCCCCACCCATAAATTATATACTACCAGAGGTACAAGATAGTCATTTACACAGCACTTTCTGTATAAAAAGCGTGACAAAAGTGTGTTCCTGCACCTTTAATAGGGGGAATGCCAGGTGCAGCTCATTACAAGGGTGAAGGATCCCACATGATAACCAAACATTCCCGGTACTACTCAATACTCAAAGGTTATCACAGCCCTCTCTTCCTTTGCACCTGTTCACCTTAACACAGGAGTGTCGGGCAGCCCCCTGCCTTCTTCATTTTCACAAGGCAGCAAGGTACATCACTACCACACACACTGCAACTTTCCCCTCCGGAGGACCCAGGCAGACGTGCCAGGATTCGAACACCACGTCCTACACACCCGAGTTGCGTATGTAGGCTGCATAAAACAAGTAAAAACAAGCCGTTGGGTTCATTCGTTTCCTTTCTTAGCCTTAGTTTGGTGTTCTATCAAACCTTCCCCCCCCCCAAAAAAAAGCTACATTGTGAGAATCAAAATGTTCCCCCCCCAAAAAATGTTGTATTCACACATACAAAATAAGGCACCTGCATACTTTAAAAGCAAACAAACCCCACTTTAGAAAACGGTGGACAAGTGGGGTTTCTTTGCTTGACTCCACGCAGGCAGGAGGGCAAACCGGCAGCCTCGCCTTGGCTCAGAAACGAAACGCCCTCCAGACCCCGCTGCCGGGAAGAGGAAGGATATTAATGCTATTAATACTCATTAATGCTATTTAATGAGGGTGGGGGCGGCGAGCATCTTACCTGCCCTTGCCGCTCTCTCCTTCCCTGTCTCCCAGCCAGGCAGCCCCTGCCTTCCGCCTCCCTTAGCAGGCTGCGCTTCCCACTCCGGAAGCGACACCAACACCGCCAGCGGGACGACAACAACAACAACAATAACAATAATAACAATAACAGCGACAGAGGGAGCGCGGGATGCCCGGCAAAGGCAGCACCTGACTCGACTTGGAGGCGCTTCCGCCTTTGCATGAACTTCCGGCCTCCACTCCTGGGCCGGCCACGGGCAAGAGGAGGAGGAGGAGGCGGAGCTGCCGTCGGCGCAGGCAACGCAATCGGCCCCCGAGAAACGGAGCCAGGAGGAGGAGGAGCCGCCGCAGGCAACGCAATCAACCCCCGAGAGACGGAGCCAGGAGGAGGGGGGGCTGCCGCCGCCGCCGCAGGCAACGCAATCGACGCAAAATGCGGCGAGAGGCGCAGGCGCGAGCAAACGAGCCCCGCGATCGTCGTCGTCCACGCAGGCCGTCGGTTCGAGTGCAGTTGCTTCGATGGACAGAGCATAGCTGTCAACGTTTGCCTTTCCTAAAGGGAAATTCCCTTATTCCGAATAGGATTCCTCGCAAGAAAAGGGAAAAGTTGACAGCTATGGGACAGAGTTCTCAAGTGGCGGGGGGGGGGGTCATAGGTGGGAAGGGACCCCGTGGGTCATCCAGTCCAGCCCCTTGCAACACAGCAGAGATCTCGACACTTGGTTTCCCCCATCCCATTTCGCACTCCTGTCTCAGCGACTAACAGACTGAGGTTGAATCCTGACAAGACAGAAGTACTGTTCTTGGGAGACAGGGGTCGGGCGGGTATGGAGGACTCCCTGATCCTGAATGGGGTAACTGTGCCCCTGAAGGACCAGGTGTGCAGCCTGGGAGTCATTTTGGACTCACAGCTGTCCATGGAGGTGCAGGTCAATTCTGTATCCAGGGCGGCTGTCTGTCAGCTCCATCTGGTACGCAGGCTGAGACCCTACCTGCCCGCAGACTGTCTCGCCAGAGTGGTGCATGCTCTAGTTATCTCTCGCTTGGACTACTGCAATGCAATCTACAAGAGGCTACCTTTGAAGGTGACCCAGAAACTACAACTAATCCAGAATGCGGCAGCTAGTGGTGACTGGGGGCGGCCGCCGAGACCATATAACACCGGTCCTGAAAGACCTACACTGGATCCCAGTACGTTTCCAAGCACAATTCAAAGTGTTGGTGCTGACCTTTAAAGCCCTAAACGGCCTCAGCCTGAAGGAGCGTCTCCACCCCCATCGTTCTGCCCAGACACTGAGGTCCAGCGCCGAGGGCCTTTTGGCAGTTCCCTCGCTGCGAGAAGCCGTTACAGGGAACCAGGCAGAGGGCCTTCTCGGTAGTGGCACCCGCCCTGTAGAACACCCTCCCACCAGATGTCAAAGAGAAAAATAACTACCAAACTTTTAGAAGACATCGAAGGCAGCCCTGTTTAGGGAAGCTTTTAATGTTTAATTGGTTACTGTATTTTAGTGTTTTGTTGGAAGCTGCCCAGAGTGGCTGGGGAAACCCAGCCAGATGGGCAGGATATAAATAATAAATTATTATTATATTATTGTTATGTCTACACCTGCTTGGTCATGGCCACGGAACGGAAGATGGCAGGATCCCCAAGGACGTGCACTGGGGGGGGGGCACCAGGCCCGTTGGCAGAGCCAACTGCGTTACGAGGATTTCTGCAAACGTGTGAAGACTGAGAACCCCTTGCCGATGACCGCAGTGCCTGGAGACAAAGTGTCAGGTGGGGCATCCATAGCAGTGGCCGGAAGAGGAATGACCACAGAGGGAAGAAACGCCTTGGTGCATCCGCAGCAGCACAACCAGACGCCTTCATCTGCCCCGGCTGCAACAAAACATGTCTCTCCTGTATCGGTCTCTACAGCCCCAGCAGGTGCTACAACCTTCCAGCAGTTTGACTTCACCCCTAAAGGGGCACTCCTTCATTGTATCCAGAGATAGACAAATTTCAGCAACATTTGGAGGATGATAGAAAGCTCACCCGTACACACAAAAATGCCCAGTGCTGGGGGTTGGGGTGGGGAGGAGAGGATAATCGTATGCCAGGTTAGGACTTTTTGCTTTGACCATACCAGGAAGGATTATACTGTGGGTGTGGGGAACGATTTCATCCATCTGAAGTCAGAAACGGCATGCCTCAAATTTCAGTGAGATCTGGATCAGAACTGGGAGTTAACCAAGCTGATGCAAATTTCAGTCACTTAAAAAAAAACTCTCTCTACATAAATATATACGAGACATCCTAAGTAGAGTTGCCACATTATACTCACAAGTATTCTGACCACTTGAATTGTGTGCCCCTGAGCATGTGCAAAGTTTCTTTTCAGGTGGGAGTTTCCGCAAGGATTGTCTTTTACTTTTAAAGGAAGGAAGGTCAAAATAAGAACAGTTCAAGATAAAGAACAGTTTTTGGAGAGATATCAGGAGGACTTGCAGAAAGGAACAGTAGAAACAACAATACAAGAAAAAGGAGTGACAGACATTGCAAACTTGTCGTTTGGACTCATACCACCATCTGAAGATGAACAAAAGCTAGGAGCAGTCGGTGGAACAGGTACTTAATAACAAAATGTCTCTGCAACTTCTTAGTTGGAATTGTAATGGTTTGAACCTTCCCGAAAAAGACGACAACTTTTTCATATTTTGAAAAGAGAACAATTAGACCTAATATGTCTACAAGAGACCCATGTGACCAGGACACATAGGAAATTATTGGTAAACAAGAGACTTGGACAGGAATTTATTTCATCAGACAAAGTTAAGAAAAGAGGCGTGGTGATTTATGCAAAAGAAAAATTGGCTCCAAAGATGATATTTAAAGATGAACAAGGAAGATACCTGGCAATTGAAATACAAGTTCAAGGAGAAAAATATTGATAGTCGGAATTTATGCACCAAATGACGGGAAGGCGGAATTCTTTAAGAAGCTGCATGAGACTTTAATGGACTATTTAGACTATAGAGTAGTAATGATGGGAGACATGAATGGTGTAGTTTCCACAAATATGGACAAAGCACAAAGACAAGTAATTTCCAAGGAAGGGAGACTACCAAAGACTTTTTTGAAATGACTGAAACTATGGACTTGATTGACATTTGGAGAACAAGGAACCCTCTTGAGAGAGAGGGAACTTTTTCTCTGAAGCAAAAATGACATGGACAAGAATTGACCAAATTTGGGTAACTAGCAGTATGGCGCCAAGGATCAAAAAGGTAGAAATCTGCTCAAAGACTTGCTCCGACCATAATGCTGTAAAGATGGAGATGAAACTAACATCAACTGGATCCTTTAGATGGAGAATGAATGACACCCTATTTAGAGATGAAGAGATTTATAAGAAGGCCCAAAAAACACTGAAAGATTACTTTGAGATAAATTTGAGAACAGAAGTGGAAAAAGAATAATCTGGGACGCAAGTAAGGCCGTGATGCGAGGTTTCCTAATACAACAGAACTCCATAAAGAGGAAAAATCAAAATGAAAGGAAAGAAAAAATCCTGGAAAAAATAAAAGAAGGTGAAAAGAAATTGAGGTCTAAACCAAAGTCCCATGAGATTCTGAGAGAAATAAAGCACTACCAGGTGCAATATATGGAATTGATGAATCAAGAGATAGAATGGAAAATAAAGCAAATGAGACAAAAGACATTTGAATCAGCAGATAAATGTGGGAAACTTCTGTCATGGCAATTGAAAAAGAGGCAAAAACTGAACACTGTGACAAGTTTAGAAGTGGATGGAAAGATTATCCACAAACCAAACGAGATAAGTAATTGTTTTCAAAGTTACTTCAGGAAATTATATGCACAAGGGCCAGTCAACGAACAGGAAATAGAAGAATTTGTTAAGAAACATGGATTACCAAAAATTTCAGAGCAAAGCAGAAGGATTTTGAATGAGAAAATAACAGGACAAGAAATAGAGGGTGCCATTCAGAAGATGCAATTGGGAAAATCTCCAGGACCAGATGGTTTGACCGCCAGATATTATAAAGCGTTGAAGGAATGGTTAGTACAACCACTGAAGGAAGTATGTAATGAAATTTTGGAGGGAAAAAGGCACCAGAGTCGTGGAAAGAAGCCTTTATTTCACTTATACCGAAAACTGAGACTGAAAAGAACCAGGTTAAAAACTACCGCCCTATATCATTACTCAATGTGGATTACAAAATTTTTGCAGACATTATGGCAAAAAGACTGAAGAGAGTGTTGGTAGGGGAGATTCATAAGGACCAAACTGGCTTTCTTCCAGGGAGACATATGTCGGACAATGTGAGGAACATTATAGACATTTTGGAACTGTTAGAAGTGGACATCAATAGGAAGGCTGTTTTAATTTTTGTGGACGCGGAGAAAGCCTTTGATAATATTGGTTGGAGCTTTATGAAGAAGAATCTCCAAGGGATGGGGGTAGGTCAAGGGTTTGAAAACGGTATAGGTGCAATATATTCTAAACAAAAAGCAAAGTTAATTGTAAACAATGTGGTTACGGAAGAAATATCTATAGAAAAAGGTACACGACAGGGGTGCCCAATATCCCCTTTACTTTTTATATTAGTCCTGGAGGTTTTGTTAAACATGATTAGAGGAGACCAGTTGGTTAAAGGAGTACAAGTCGGAGCTAGACATTACAAGCTAAGGGCATTTGCAGATGACCTAGTACTGACCTTGCAACAGCCAGATACTAGTACTAAAAGAGTATTAGAACTAATTGAGATATTTGGTCAAGTAGCAGGATTTAAACTGAACAAACAGAAAACGAAAGTGTTGGACAAAAATTTAACATTGGCTGAAAAAGAGAAGTTTCAGAATGAAACAGGTTTAGTGATAACGAAAAAGTAAAGTATCTGGGGGTAAACTTAACATCTAAGAATGTGAATTTATTTAAGGACAATTATGACAAATGTTGGACAGAGGTAAAGAAAGATCTAGAAATATGGTCAAGGTTGAAACTCTCTTTGTTAGGTCGAATTGCTGTTATCAAGATGAATGTATTGCCTAGAATGTTGTTTTTATTCCAGACATTGCAGATTTTGGACAAGATGGACTGTTTCAAGAAGTGGCAGAAAGATATATCTAAATTTGTCTGGCAGGGCAAAAAGCCCAGAATAAAATTTAAGATTCTAACTGATGCAAAAGATAGAGGGGGTTTGCCCTGCCGGACTTAAGACTCTACTATGAATCGGCGGCTTTCTGCTGGTTGAAACATTGGCTACTTCTTGAGAATACAGACATTTTGGATCTAGAAGGGTTTGATAATAGATTTGGCTGGCATGCATATATATGGTATGATAAGGTAAAACTGCATAAAGGTTTCAAAAACCATATTGTTAGGAAAGCATTATATAATGTTTGGATGCGGTATAAAGATTTATTGGAAAGTAAAACTCCCAGGTGGTTGTCACCAATGGAAGCCAAAGAGGTGAAAAAACTTAATATGGAGTCTAAATGGCCAAAATATTGTGAAATTTTAGAACAAGATGGGGAAAAAGTTAAATTACAGAGTTATGAGAAATTAAAGTCCAAAGTGCGAGATTGGTTGCACTACCTTCAGATAAACGAGACATTTAAACAGGACAGGAAAATAGGTTTCCAGATGGAGAGGTCAAAATTAGAAACAGAACTGTTAGAACCCAATACTAAGAATCTGTCGAGAATGTATAATCTGCTGTTGAAATGGAACACACAGGATGAAACGGTGAAATCAGCTATGATAAAATGGGCACAAGATATTGGTCATAACATTATGTTTGCTGACTGGGAACAGCTGTGGACCACCGGTACTAAATTTACGGCATGTAATGCCTTAAGAGAAAACATTATGAAAATGATGTATAGGTGGTACATGACCCCAGTCAAGCTTGCAAAAATTTATCATCTGCCCAATAACAAATGTTGGAAATGTAATGAGACTGAAGGTACTTTTTATCACCTTTGGTGGACCTGCCCGAGGATAAAAGCTTTTTGGGAAATGATCTATAATGAAATTAAGAAGGTTCTTAAATGGACCTTTCCTAAAAAACCTGAGGCTTTTCTCCTGGGCATAGTCGGCCAATTGGTGAGAAGGAAGGACAGGACGTTTTTATGTATGCGACTACAGCAGCAAGGATTCTTCTAGCAAAGTATTGGAAGACACAACAACTACCCACACTGGAAGAATGGCAGACGAAGGTGATCGACTACATGGGACTGGCGGAGTTGACTGGCAGAATCCGTGACCAGGGGAAAGAGACAGTGGAAGAAGATTGGAAGAAATTCAAAGTTTATCTTAGAACTTGTTGTAAAATTCAGGAATGTTAAAATGTCAAGGGGTTGTGAAACAGAGAATTGCAGCTGTAATTAACAATATTAGAAGAACTTAAAAGAAATTGAACTGAATAATTAGTCGACTGAGGAGTTGCTGAAGAAATATAAAACAAGGATGCAGAAAAGGGGAGGTATGGGGAAGTCCGGAAAGTAAGGTTTATGAAAAAATGGTTATGAAATTACACATGTTTATATGTTTGTATGTCGGTGTATTGTGTATTGTTTGTTTTTTCTTTGTTTTTTGTTATTTTGTGCTTGGAAAATTAATAAAAATTTATTTTAAAAAAAAAAAAAACAAAGTTTCTTTTCCTCCATGAATGGGGTGGTTCCTCATTCTCAATGTATGTAAATTATGAATATTGTTAATTTGAGACAGAAAAGAGCCGTGTGTGCGTCAATGTACACATTGAGCAACATGCCATTGTGGTCTGATTTTGAACGCCACAAGCTCAGATGCAGCTCTCAGAATTACTTGTGTAATTTTTTGACCCACCCAACTCCCCACAGTGGGACACTGACTGTTTGCCCAGTGACAACATGTTCGGCTTGGAGCTGAGACATCAAATAACGTCAGTGGACGGCCTTGGATAAGACATTTATTTCGCCTTCAGCTCTCTACCCCATAAAATCATTGTCCAAGCTGTGAGGAAATAGAAGTACCTTCTTCAGTTTTTTAACTGGTAAAAAGCGGTGGTACATAATAGTCTTCTCAAATATATAAAAAGCTAGTTTTGCATACATCCTTTACACTCCAACCGCCAGTTTAGTGTGACCATCATACAGAGCCCAAAGGGAAAATGCAGAGAAGAATCTTGATTTTCATCCGCTAGAGTTGCCATGAATTCTTCCATGCAAGGAAGGAACTGTAACCATGCTTGTCTCAAGGTGTGGTCTGAAATATCTCGGCTTTCTTGGATTTTCGGAGAAAACAGCGACATCTCTGGCTGTGACAGGCCAGGGCTTGGGCGTTCTTGTTCTTCATTGCCTTGAAAGCCTTTGCCCCCTTCCTACCAGCCAGGTGCCATTCTCTGCCCATATCTAGGCACTGCCCCTTAAGATCCTAGGATCCTCACATTCAGATCGTTCCCAGCTTGGGGAAACACTGCGCAGTGCCACCGCGCAGCCTGGTGCCCAGGATCAGATTGACGGTTGCGCTGCGCGCCTGGGGGCTCAGAGATGCGTTACACTTTGCAAAATATCCAAGCCCTCCTCCTCCCAGATCCCCAGTTCTCTTTCTTGGGGATCGTCAACTTCCTCCTTTTCCCTGCTCTGCATTTTTGCTTCCTTGCCCTCCCCGTTGGCAGATCGCCCCCGAGGCCGCCCTTCCCTTTCTCTGGGCGCGCTTCCTTGCGAGCTGCGTGGGAAGCGCGCATTGGCGAGGCGGGATCCTCCCTTCTCCTCTCAATGGGGGAATGCGGCGGCACAGGCGGGACTAAGGCGGCGGAGGGCCGCCGAGGGAGGAGGCGTGGCCCCAGCAGCCCTTCTTTTAAAATCAGCCACAGGCATCAGCTTGCAAGCGCCCTGGGAAACGGCAGCAGCGAGCAGTGGTTGCGGTGGGGACGCCGGCGCAGAGCTCAGCGGTGAAATCTGCACCGACTTCGCCTCCAAGACCACCGGAGACGTTCAGTGACTTGCATCTAAGCCGAGAAAGAGGTGAGCTTGCTGGATCCCAACTTCTTTTGTCTGCGGGTCTTCTCTCTCTCTCTTCATTGGCATGCACTATGGGGTGGGTCTTCATTTTCTGTTGCAAACCACCCTGCAGCTAAAACCAGACAGACAGAAATACCGCACACGCCTATAGATGCGTCTTCCTTTTTGTTATGACCCCCTTCCCCGCATCTTTATTTTTTATTTTTTATCTCTTTGTCCGCGCTTCATTGCCAAACCCATCTCTGCAAATTGGAGACATCAAAATGACAGGGAAGGCCGTTGACACCCCCTTGTTACGCGGCTAGCCAACCTGGGCTTGCATCTGATCGGCTGGGAATCGTTTTATGTAGATCGGTTCCTTTATAGCATGCTGTCGTAACGTGCACAGTGTCTTGTCCGTGCAGATGTATGGCTAAAGGATCGGCTCCCCCACCTCTTTTCAGTTCAGTATAGGTTTTCTGCATAGGGTGGTGCCCTGCATGGTGAAAGTATGGCAGCAGAAGAACCCCAGATTAATTGACCCCAATGGCACAACCTTAGATTGCATGCCTGTGTTCCCATCAAGGCAATGAAATCCCAGTACTAATCTACTGGACAGCTAAATTACACAATCTGAACACGGAGGATCCTAGTTCTATGTTAGCATTTCAGCAGCCTTCTATCTGAACTCTGCCCTTGACAGAGTTGGTGTTCCAAACAGTCTGCTTGACTATAATGTGTTTAAGATCTTGCCAAGGCACCCAGGCGCCTCTTCCAATCGAAAATGCCTTTTGCTTAGCAATGCAATGTTTGCTTCTTCTTCTTCTTTTTACATAATCGGTTATATTTATCTGCGATACCTTATCTGTATCTTATGCCAGTTTTGCACAATCTCCACTTTCAAATTGCTCTTTGGCTTAAAGGAAGTGTAGCACAGAAAGTAGGGTGTGTACCATTTTGAAATGGGGATTAGATTTGCTTATTACTTTTTTTATATATGTTGGAAGCTGCCCAAGGGGGTGGGCAACCCAGTCAGATAGGTGGGGTACAAATAATAATAGCATTTCTGCTGTATGATTTTTGCAGTGCTGCACAATGCACTGCAAATACATTCTTTTACAGTTTAAATGTTTCATTCCGGTTTTTCATAATCGTATGTAATCTGTCTGTTATAGTGAGTAAAACAAAACCAAAGAGTAAGTAGAAACTGAAAACGCCACATGGCATACAGTGTAAGACTGCAAGCATTATTTATATTTATATCCTGCCTTTCCTCCAGTTAACTCAGTGACAATCACTCCAGTGAGCTTCATGACAGAGCAGGGATTTGGGGTCTCAAATTTCAGTGGCTGCCTGTGCAATGCCAAAATTCAGCACCTGCCTCTTGCTTTCCAGTCTACATCATAGTTGCGGTACCCTCAAGACTCTGCACCCCGTGCAGCTGAGCCGGTCATGCTCCCCTGAATCCACCTCTGATTTCCAGCTGGGCCTCCGAATATCAATCCCAAGACATAAACCTGTGGCCTTCCAGATGTTGTTGGACTACAACTCCCATCATCCCTGGCCATTGCTCTTCCTGACTGTGGCTGATGGGTGTTGAGGTTCAACAATATCTGGAGACCCCCCAGGTTCCTTACCCCTAATCTTTGCACTATGCTGGATTTTTTGTTTAGTCGTGTCCGACTCTTCGTGACCCCCTGGACCAGAGCACGCCAGGCACTCCTGTCTTCCACTGCCTCCCACAGTTTGAGCAAACTCATGTTGGTAGCTTCGAGACCACTGTCCAACCATCTCGTCCTCTGTCTTCCCCTTCTTGTTGTGCTGGATAGAGTATGTTTATTTCTGAATTTGAGACTGCTTTCCAAATGTGTTCCTTGTACTCGGGTATTAGTTGTGCCCAGTATTATTTTATAGTAAAACTCACCTACTCAGGTCATGTTCATACAGATGTTTAATTTGCACTCAGAAAGACCTCCTTTAAATTATGAGTACTGATGTCAATACTTCCCTTAAAGCCCTCCTTTTTCCATTGCGGCACGCACACACATTCCAGGGTGTGTGAACAATCTGGGAGAAAGGTATGCCATTCCTAAACTAGCAAAATGCTTGGACTTATGGTGCCTGAGGAGGTATGTTGCTGGGATTCCTGGCAAGGCAGAGTTGTAGTATTATTGGCTTTCTTGTCAGTATGTTTTTAAAATTGTTTTTATCACTGATGTTCCGTAATGTGTTGTTAATATTGTATACCGCCCTGGGTCCTGCCAACCTAGCAGTTCAAAAGCACATCAAGTGCAAGTAGATAAATAGGTACCACTCTGGCAGGAAGGTAAACGGCGTTTCCGTGCGCTGCTCTGGTTCGCCAGAAGCGGCTTAGTCATGCTGGCCACATGACCCGGAAGCTGTACGCTGGCTCCCTTGGCCAATAAAGCGAGATGAGCGCCACAACCCAGAGTCAGCCACGACTAGACCTAACGGTCAGGGGTCCCTTTACCTTTACCTTACCGCCCTGGGATCTTCTGAAAAAGGGCAATCAATCAATCAATCAATCGATGATGATGGACAGTATATAAATGATGATGATGGTAATAATAGTACACTTTTTGTACAGAGGTCACATCCTTGCAGGAGTCTCCACCTGTATCAGCCTGCCCCAAACATTAAGATCTTTTCCCAATGCCCCACACTATCGCTTCTATCAGAGGTGAAGTTTGTCATAAGGGTCTGGCTCACACATAATGCTAAACCAGGGTGGGGGAACTCTGGTCCTGGGGGCAAAGGTGGCCCTCTAAGCCTATGTATCTGGCCCTTGGACTCTTCCCAGGCCACACCTGCTTTGCACCCTCCTTGGGGGTGCTTTTGCCTGGCTAGAATATATCCTCGAATTCTGTTAATGCTTCTTGCTTACTCGCATGGAGTGTAGAGAGGGACATGCGATTGTGAAGGATTTAGCCTACCTTACAAAGGTAAGAGTCGAATTTGTTGCCCTCCCAGCCCCATTGGGTTTCCTACCATAATGGCAGCGGTTTACTCGGCAGTAATCGGTCGCTGTGATCAGTGGTTTAGCTGTGCTGTATAATGAATTGTTGCGTAACTCTGTGTGTGCACACACCCAGTCACCTGTGATGATGAAAGTAATTCCATGAAACATTGTGAAATGTAATTGTGAATGAATAATCCTGGTCGTACAAGCAGGAAACTTCTCCAGGGAAGTTTTCCTGGCACCTTCATTATACACCGTTAGGCACCAGAAAAAAACGTTCCTTTTTAACCAGGCCTTTGGTTAATTTGATTGACATTCTACACCCTTTTAAAATGTGGTTGTTGTGGGGGGGGGTGTTATTGGGTTGTGGTTTTTATTTTTATTTTGTAGTTTTATATTTTGATTTTATTCTGTGAACCGCCCTGAGACCTCCGGTTATAGGGTGGTATATAAATTCAATTAATAATAATAACAATAAAGAACACTTGCATGCACATTGAGTGAATGGTAACTTATAAAAATGTGCGGAGTACAGCCTAAAGCTCTGTTTTTATATTATTTATATTTCATTTCATAAAATTGGTACACTGCTTGATTGTAAAACAAAATCCTCAAGGGGTTTACAAAACATAAAACAGTAAAATCACCAAAAAAATTACAAACCTACTATAAAACATACTAAAGTTAAAATGCTAAACAGATTAAAATTACCAGCTTTCTAAGCATCTGGGTAAAGGTAAAGGGACCCCTGACCATTAGGTCCAGTCGTGGCCGACTCTGGGGTTGCAGCGCTCATCTCGCTTTACTGGCCGAGGGAGCTGGCGTTTGTCCGCAGACAGCTTCCGGGTCATGTGGCCAGCATGACTAAGCCGCTTCTGGTGAACCAGAGCAGCGCACGGAAACGCCGTTTACCTTCCCGCCAGAGCGGTACCTATTTATCTACTTGCACTTGGACGTGCTTTCGAACTGCTAGGTTGGCAGGAGCAGGGACTGAGCAAAGGGAGCTCACCCCGTCATGGGGATTCAAACCGCCGACCTTCTGATCGGCAAGTCCTAGGCTCTGTGGTTTAACCCACAGCGCCACCCGCGTCCCAAGCATCTGGGTAGGCTTGCCTAAACAGGAATATTTTTAGCAGGCTCCAGAAAGGGTACAGTGAAGGCGCCTGCTTGATCTGAAGCAGGGAGTTCCAAAGTTCAGGCGCTGCCACACTAAACAACTGAGGTCTTACAAATCCGGAATGGGTATCATGTGACACCTGTAATGGCGCCAATTCTGCCGATCGAAGCGTTTGAGTGGGCACATGTAGAGCAAGGCAGTTTTGTAGGTAAAGGTAATTTTTTGCATTAAACAAAAGCATAGGATAAATGGAAAATATTTTAAAGCAAAAATGGCCAAGTCATTGCTCTTTCATAACCGGCAAATACCCGTGGGGATTATAAGTAAGCCATGGATTGTTTTAGAACAGTGCTTTTGTTGACAGGGATCAAGGGCCAAGTAAGAGCTGCAATTTTTCCTCCTATTTACTTGAATGCCTGGCTCTCTCACTTTCAGAAAAGTAATATACAGCGGAACTTCCTGCAGGCCTCTTAACTCGCGGGGGTCATTCGCTTGCATGAAGAGATCCTGTTTGTGCTCCCGTGTCACACATGGCAACTTCTGCGATCTAAAAGGCATATCTTGGAGTTTTAGGCTGCGTGCACAAGCATCAAAGCGGTCAAGATCTGTGAGCGCTCATATAAGGCACCTTGCAAATCTTAGGCACTGTATGATTATTTAAACCGAAACGTTTCAAGCCACTGTGACTTAGATGGCATGGCTTTGAAGGAAGCTTGCCAAAACCTGCCGTGGCCCATCCTCAATGCCAGGAGACACGTGGCTGGAAACCCCATAGAATATGCAGACTTTGTGCTCTAGTCTAGTGTGTACCTTTACCAGAGAGGGAATTTCCTGTGCCTTCATCCCATGCAATTCTAGGAATGTGTGAAGGACAGGAGCCATGTAACCTTGGCATTCCAAAGCAACGCAGCCAATGTGAAACAACTATACTGGTCTAGAAACATCTAGATTTCCCTCTGCCTGTTGTGGCTGAACTGGTCTGGCCTTGAATACTCCTCTCTGCTTTCTCCTGGCTTGCTACTGTCCATTCCCCCTTGGTGCAAGGGGCGGGGGGAGATGGGTGCTATTTTGGTTGCAGACAGCGGAAATGTCCAATTTTATATTCTACGGAGTGGTTTATGCACACAGGAGGATCTGGGCTTGTGGCAGATACGTGGTCCTTCCACTTAGCAATGCTCAGAGTTAGTCCAGCTATTGCAGCTTATGTAGAGCCAATGGAAAAATAAACTCCATTCTATGCTCCAAGAAACTACAATTTTATTTTATTTTTAAATCAGAATGGAGCATGAATGTCATGGGTGTGCATAACTTACCTTTCTTGCCCCCAAAATCTGAATTGCACTGGGATCATTTCAGACATGAACATCCCCTTCGTAATGTCTCTGTTGCCAACTAGCAGCCCAATTTGATCAACGGATGTCACCATAATCTGTATTTAGTGTTTGTGTTTTTCCCCTCCCCATTAGATCACAATGTCTAAAAAAATCCATGGCGGATCTGTGGTGGAGATGCAAGGAGACGAAATGACCCGTGTGATCTGGGATCTGATTAAGGAAAAGCTGATCTTTCCCTACATGGATCTAGATCTTCACAGGTAACTGGATTTCCACAGGTCCTCTGTATTGTGAGGAAATTTCCAGTTTATACGTGGGTGTTTGTCGACTGCTTAGCTCTTGTATTTGGGAGAGTCTTGCTTGATATTTTCTTTCTCTCTTAGGGACTATCCACATGTTACTTTTGCTGACCCCAAGATTAATATCCACTTTGAAATGGTGTGCCTTGATTATAAATAATTGTCAAATAGAGGCAAATTCTGTTAAGTACTTCGTGACTGTGTGTTCACACTTAATGCTGATTCTCAAATGGGTACCCTTTGCCAGATGGGCGGGATATAAATAATAAAATTATTATTACAGTGGTACCTCGGTTTACGAACTTAATCCGTTCCGGAAGTCCGTTCTTAAACCGAAACCATTCTTAAACCGAGGCGCGCTTTCCCTAATGAGGCCTCCTGCCACCGGTGCCCTTCCACCGTTCAGATTCCGTTCTTAGACTGAGGTAAAGTTTGCAAACTGGGACACTACTTCCAGTTTTGTGAAGTTCATAAACAGGGCTGTTCTTAAACCGAGGTGCCACTGTATTAAAAGAGTGAGGTATTTTGGCTTGTAAATTCTTGTAAGTGGCCAGTGCAAACTTGCTTAGAACAGAAGATGCTTCTATTGGCCAAACTTCTCTTTTAAAACAAAAACCTTCGGGTCCAGGGAAGCTTGAACTGCTCAGAAAATAGGAACCTGACAAGTGTTCCTTGCTCTGTCCTCCGGCCACACAGCCCAGGATTTTTTCATGCATCTACCAGTTTAATAGTTTTCATGCTGGGCCGTGGCTCTGTGAATTAACTAGGCAAACTAAGTTGCCACTTACCGTATTTTCCCCTCTATAAAATGCACTTTTTCCCTCCTAAAAAGTAAGGGGAAATGTGTGTGCGTCTTATGGAGCGAATGCAGGCTGCGCAGCTATCGCTGAAGCCAGCAAATCCCTCTTGCTGTTCTGGCTTCTGGGATAGCCACGCGAAGCCTCTTCATGGCAGCGGGAACGTTCCTACCGCTGTGCTGAAGAGGCTTTGTCTTGCATTCTTCAACAACATTTGATTCAGAATATTTTTTTTTTCTTGTTTTCCTCTTAAAAACTAGGTGCGTCTTATGGTCGGGTGTGTCTTATAGAGAGAGAAATACGGTACTTTTCTTTTCTTGCATTGCTCCTGTGCCAGTTGGCAGCCTGCCACAAGTGGCAGCAGTATAAGAGGTTTGCAGTTCTTTTTCCATGGACGTCTCTGTGCTAAGGAAAGACCCATGTTTTGGTGTTCTGTCTCTCTCCTGCAGCTTATTAAGGGCATAGGGATTCTGCAGTGGAGTCTGGGGAGAGGAGCAACATAATAGGCAGCTTCAGGTTTCTGTTAGATCTGCTCAGTGAACTAATCCACCCCAACCCCACAGCAGCACTTTCACCCATTTTTCTGCTTCTGAAGGGCTCTGCTGGCTACCAATGTTATGGCTATTCAGAAGAACCCCACCCCCGCTGTCACCACCTGGGCATCACCTGCCAGCAATAAAACTGTAGCCACAATGACTCATCCCCACTTTCTTCAGCCTTCAAACCACGTGAGCCTGCGGTGGGCATTTACAGTGTTGAGAAAATAAGTCAACCTGCTATTCCACACATTGTTGTTGGAATCAAACCGCTGCCTTACCAGCACCAAGTGACCTCCCTTTGGCACAGTCTTGGGCCGTGTGCGTGGAGGTCCTGGGCTTCCCAGATGACAAGACTCTCAGCCTCTCCGATGTGGTCCAAAGGAAAGCAGAGCAAAACGTTTAGCACCAGCTTGGCTGCAGGAGTTGCCAGAAGAAGGCACACAAAGTCTTAGGGACTCCGTTCCTGTTTTGTGTAGGGTTTACCTTTTCTTCTCCCAAAGATCTCCTAAGGCAGCAGAGGTTAAGGATCAGAGTTTTCCTTCTCCTCGATGGGCTACATTCCCAGGCTGATGAGCCCCATCTGCCCCTCACTTCCCTCTGCAGCAGGCATCCCCAGCCTTCGGCCCTCCAGATGTTTTGTATTACAATCCCCATCATCCCTGACCACTGGTCCTGTTAGCTAGGGATCATGGGAGTTGTAGGCCAAAACATCTGGAGGTCCGCAGGTTGGGGATGCCTGCTCTACAGCATGTTCAGAAACTGCCTTCCTGACCATTGGACCCACTCTTGCTCTCGTCTGCGCAATCCTCTGGAGCCAGTCTTTGCATGCAGGGCAAGTCCCTAACTCACTAAGGGCTTGAGACCCATCAGCTCCCCTCAGTCAAAGCCGTTCCCGGGGTGTGGCTGCTGTCACATGGTGACAGCTTCTAGGAGCCACAGTACAGAACTGAGTGCAGGTTGGGCGCCAAAGGTGGACAAACTACCCCAGAAGGAGCACAATGCGTCCCCCACCAGAGGTACTACCCCTCCCCTAACACCACACACTGTCAGAGTACCATTGGCAAGAGTACCATGGAGAAAAGTACAGCAAAATCTTTTCAGTGCATCCACCGGTTGTAGATTAAACCGTTGAGTCGTTAACCTTTCCCCTACTTCTCTTGCACTTTGCTTTTTGTTCCGGATACCTGCCTAACCAGATGTACTGCTTTGCTCGTGCTGACACTGCCAAAGCAGAATAGGTATCTGATAGCATAGCTGTACAATCCCACACATCTGAGTCCAGACACATTTTCATTCATTTGTTTTTATTGGAAGGAGAGCATCAACATTGCTGTCCAAGCGGCTTTTGCTCACTCCTCCAAGTGTTAACTTCATGAAATTATCCACTTGTATATGAAGTAGCTCCTTCTTTCATGGGGACTCCAACTCCCATCAGCCTCAGCAAGCAATTGCAGGGACGATAGGAGTTGTGGTTCAGCAACATCTGGAGGGCCAACGGTTCCTCACACCTGCAGAAGATGGTCATTTTACTCTGTTTGTGCCATTTCCTATCTCTTCTCTTCTTTTTGAGCATGTTTTCCACCCTGAACTATGATGCACATGTTTAGTAAGGCCTTGGATGGGTCTGTAAGGCACTTAACAAATGACTGTGTTTTGGGGACTTGCTTGCAGCTATGATCTGGGAATAGAGAACCGCGATGCAACCGATGACAAGGTCACCGTGGAAGCTGCAGAAGCTATCAAGAAATACAATGTCGGAATCAAGTGCGCTACTATCACTCCGGATGAGAAAAGGGTAGAGGAATTCAAGCTGAAGCAGATGTGGAAATCTCCAAATGGAACGATCCGAAACATTCTTGGGGGCACAGTCTTCAGGGAAGCCATTATCTGCAAAAACATCCCCCGACTAGTATCTAGCTGGGTAAAGCCCATCATCATTGGCCGTCATGCTTTTGGAGACCAAGTGAGTCCTTCACGCAGCGTTTGGCATTTATGGCTTTTACTGTTGAGCGCACCCTCTCAAACATCAGAGATTTTGTATGGTTGGGGAATGCATGCAAGAGAGCAAAATGCAGCTGCAGGGCCATCGATGAATCGTCACAAAGCATATCTCTTACAGATTTTTCAACTGAACTGCAATTCTTGTTAATGATTAAAATAGATTGAGCTGTGTTGAAATCTCTGCAAGCTACAGCTGTGGCTGTTTGCCTTGGTCTGGAAATCATTTAAAGGAAGTACTATTTCCCCCGCCTTTCTTCCCTGGAAAAGGGGAATAATGGAAATCTGACCTGACATATACATGGTATATAATTCTGCTAGGGAGGGGGTACTGGCAAGCTGCATGTTGATCATCCCTGACCTAAGCAGCCATTTTGTTTGTTCTTCTGCAGTACAGAGCCACAGACTTTGTCGTTTCTGGCCCTGGAAAGGTAGAGATGACCTACACACCGAAGAATGGAGGCAAACCCATAACTTATTTGGTCCATAACTTTGAAAGTAAGCGTTGGATTATATAAAGGATATTTGAATGTGGAGAATTGGGGAGGCATGTTAAGTAGAGTTAGGCTTGTAGCCTGAATAATGGATTGAGCCAGACCTTCAACCAGGGATCCACAACTGGGGAACCATGGACCAAACCTAGCCCCAGTTGCCCTCCATCCCAAGTTGCCAATGTGGGAACAGAATGCAGAGGAACTAGTAACTATGGTGATATTCAACTAAGTCTTCCTCGCTAGACCCACATAACTTAGTCATGTTCATTAACTACAGTGGGTCCACTCTGAGTAACATTTAGTTGAATCATACCCTATACAGTGGTGCCTCGCAAGACGAAATTAATCCGTTCCGCGAGTCTCTTCGTCTTGTGGTTTTTTCGTCTTGCGAAGCACGGCTATTAGCGGCTTAGCGGCGCTTAGCGGCTTTAAGAAAAAGGAAACAAACTCGCAAGAACTCGCAAGACGTTTCGTCTTGCGGAACGACTCAAAAAACGGAAAACTCTTTTGTCTTGCGCGTTTTTCGTCTTGCGAGGCATTCGTCTTGCGAGGTACCACTGTATAGCTATAGGCTGGCGATCTTAGTAGTGAGCCAGGGTCTCCCTTCCAACAATTCCTTGTGGTCTTTCCATAATATTAGATCAAGGAGCACATGAAGTATGAAAAACAACAACAGCATTTCTGTTCTGTACATGCTGTTCTGTCACCTGTCACCATTGTTCCTGTTACATACAGGCCTGTTCTTTTCTGCCAGAGGCAAGGGCACAGCCCAGGAACCCAAAGTTGCTTTGGTGTTGCTCAAACAATTGTGAAACTGGCGTCGGTGGTTGCAAAACCAACTTGTGATTTACGTGTGTTTCAATGTCTTGCTTCATTCTGCGCAAGGCAATAATGTAATTTGGGGTAATTCTAGCTTTGATGTGTATAGATAGGATGAAAGGACTACAAGGGGAAGGCTTGATTCTAGCAATCGCAGATGCAGAGTTCTTGAAATGTATGTTTGCTGAAGGATGGGAATTGCTGCACTGTGTTTCCCTGCCTGGATTGCCCAGGAGTCTTGAGAGATTGAATTGGAAGAATGTTGCAGAAGGGATGCAACACACCCACTTCCATCTTGGTTCCATGCACATGTTGGAACCAAGAAACTCCTAAGAGTCTAAGAAGGAAGACGCTGAAAGGAAGGGAATCTGCACAGGAAAGGAGAGAGCCTGCAGAATGTAGACTTGGCCCAAGTCACTTACCGCCCTCTCATGATGGTTCCATAAATCACTTGGACAATATCTACAGAGCACTCTGAATACTCAAAGTGCTTTGCAAATGCATACTATCCATAAGCATTAAATGGGCGTTTGGTATTCCTGTCTGAAGGCACTGGAGAGGTTTGTGCTCGTGTGTCCCACAAAGTTCCGATCAGGTTCTTTACTACTCTTAAAGGGGGGAAGGAATTCTGCTTCTGCCTTCTTAACTCCTTTAGTGGAACTTGGGAAAGTTGCTAGGCGGCTGTGTTTGCATGGAGAAGCAAGTGATTTCCCAGCCTTCTGTATAAATGAGAGGCTCCATTCATTTAAGCTGTGGACTAGATCTGTATGTTTAGTATATGTTTGTGTTCATTGATGTAGAGATGTAACGATGTAATGAATGTTGCATTAAACTGGACATATGTGCCACGCATCAGGCCGTACAAAAATAATTGGTGGCTGCAGTACAGTCCTTAAACGTTCCGGGAATGTTCCCTGTACGCTTTCTCTCCATTGAGCCATGGCCATGAATGAACAGTTGTAGGCCGTGTGCCAGCTCGCAGACTGTGACAAGCGGAGACTGGGTGGAATCCGTTCAGACACACTGAGGTTTTTGTCCTTTGTCCCCGCCCAGTGTAAATTCATACTTTGCAACTCCTCAGTGGTACTCCAGGCATTAAAAAAGAGAGAGGGAGAGAAAGCCTGGGAAATTGCAAAACAATCCTTACAATAACCCTGTAAGGTATGGTAGTATTATTTCTGTATGTCAGACTGGGGTGTAATAGAATAGCGACTTGCCTAAGACCATCCAGAGCTGAGATTTGAACTAAGGCAGCCTTGCTCAAAACCCTCCTTAACCATTAATTACTGTTGCGTTACACTGCACGCATCGATGCGTCTTCTAAGCCCCATAGAATCTTTCCAAGGAGGTCAATTGTCGTGTCACAGAGTAATGTTCAATTATCAGTCATTACTTTAGTCGTCTTGCGTTAAAATGTTCAAGTATGGAATTATCACCAGAAGGCATCCCAGTTTCTGAAAAGACTGATTTAGAGTCCTGTTTTATTTTTTTTAATTTTAATGAGAAAAAGGAGTAAAGATTTAAAAAAACCACTTAAGCGAGTTGAAAATTCATAATATTTATAAAAAATATTTTTATACTCTCCATTTTAAAAGATGTCAGAGTGGTTTGCTGTTTTCTTAAAATGAAAGTATATAAAAATATTGGGGGATGGGGTGTCAGAGAGAGGAGTGGTACACACTATAAAAATACCGTGCTGCTCAAAAGCAGATGTTTCTGTTCTACCTGACTCCTTTTTTTTACTTTCCTCTTTCTCTCTCCTGTGGTATAGACTGTGGAGGTGTGGCTCTGGGAATGTTCAACCTTGACCAGTCCATTGCGGACTTTGCCCACAGTTCTTTCCAAATGGCGCTGTCTAAAGCATGGCCTCTGTACTTGAGCACCAAAAACACCATTTTGAAGCGATATGATGGGCGTTTTAAGGACATCTTTCAGGAGATCTATGAGAAGTAATCAATATTTTGTTATATATTCATCTTGCAGGTGTATCTTTGTTTAAAGAACTGTCTTATTAGTCACAGCAGCTGATCTTTGAGTCTTTGGTCAAAAAGGTCTTCCTCAAAATCTCACATTTTTTATCTTATTTCTTAATGCCACTAGAAGCTGAACCAGTTAGTCATTCGTTTTGCAAAACCTCTTTCTGTTAACTCCTACAGAAACGTGAGGTGGAGGAAAGCTATGAACCTGAGTGAATGAAGAACTGATTTTCATATTTCATATGAAAATAAAAATCTGACAAGAGAGACGCTGGAGGCCCAGACATAAAATCCAGTCCCCTAAGGTTCATTGGCTGCCTTCCATCCTAGCCCAAGATCCCAAGGACAACCTCATTCTTCCAGGCTGAAACACAGGCAGAGGACCTGCCACTTCTGGACAGGATCTGCCTGGGCAGAGCTCTCTCTGTACTGTGGACCTTGGCTCTTTGCCACTGCACTGACCACACTGGAAGGAAATGGTAGTCCGCAACTTTGCTGCTGATTACTCTGTAGAAGAGGATGAGGGATTGAGGAGCTACAGAATCCTAGTTGCAGGGGTCCTTGCTGACCATTTAGTTCAGTCCCCTGCAGGAAGTTCAGGTGGCATCCCCAGCTGTTCAGCCTCTGCTTAAAGACCACCAGCAAAGGAGAGGCCACCAACTCCCACCAGCCCCAGAAAGCACAGCCAGTAGCCAAGGATCATGGAAGCTTGTAGTTCATCTGGAGGAGCAAAGGTTCCCCACACCATCTTTTAAGTACTTGGATCCATTATTGGACTGCCCTTACCTTCATGCAGCTTCTCATATTCTGACTAAAATCTGCCCTCATGAAACGCAAGCCGGAAATATCGTAAGGTACATTAGCATGGAAACTGAGGCAGGTTTCCTCCCCTTCTCCACCACATTCCCACATCCTTTATGCAAGGTGTAAGCTGCTTTCCCTTCTTCTCATGGGTTGTATATACCGGACCTGCAATTTTCACCTGTGATTCTACTTTCCTTTTCCTTCCAGGGAGTACAAGTCACAGTTTGAGGCCAAGAAGATATGGTATGAGCATCGGCTGATTGATGACATGGTGGCCCAAGCACTAAAATCTGAGGGAGGATTTATCTGGGCCTGCAAGAACTATGATGGGGATGTGCAGTCTGACTCGGTTGCCCAAGGTATGATCCACCCCTCTCTTGTAGCACTTCCACAGGACGCCATTTTGATAGCTTGAGATTACGGTAAATTCTTTATCTTTGGCAAAACGTGGGTTGGCTGTGTGAGGAGTGACTTAATGATTGTTGGGACATAAGAATAGCCCTGTTACAGCAGGCCAAGGGGCGTCCTGGCTCAGCATTTTGTCTCCAACAGTGGACAGTTAGATGCTTCTGAAAAACCTACAAAGACTGCAGCCAGTGTGGTGTAGTGGTTAAGAGTGGTAGTCTCGTAATCTGGGGAACCGGGTTCGCGTCTCCGCTCCTCCACATGCAGCTGCTGGGTGACCTTGGGCCAATCACACTTCTCTGAAGTCTCTCAGCCCCACTCACCTCACAGAGTGTTTGTTGTGGGGGAGGAAGGGAAAGGAGAATGTGAGCCGCTTTGAGACTCCTGAAGGGGAGTGAAAGGCGGGCTATCAAATCCAAACTCTTCTTCTTCTTCTTCTTCCTGGTGGCAAAATGTGCAAGCTTTCACATGGTGCAGGATTTGTCACAGAAGGGGAAAGCAACTAAATTCCCTGCCGTATACAAAACAAGGTTGTTGCCTTGTACAGATGATGGTACCCACTCAGCTATGTAACAATTCCAACAAACCTTTCTACATCAAACATGAATGTGTACAATGGATCGGCCAGCAGGGAGTTACAAATTATTGTACATCATGTTGATATAAGGAACACCTATTTCCGATAAAAATTCCTGTATCAGCAATACATGGCTTCCAAGAATGGCAAGGGGCCACCAGAAAGGAGACATGTTCTCTGCCTTTCATCAGTGGCTCAAAGGAAGTTTTGTGGTTTCTTTGCACTGGTAGCAGCCATAACGTTTTATAGCTATGTTGCTCTTACCCAGGTATTGTATGTGGCTTGTAACAGCAAGGAAAACGTATGCTGCTTTCTTGAGTATTGGAAGCAAAACTGGTCTTGCCACACTTACGTGCTTGGGAGGCAGGAAACTTTCTGAAGGAATGGAGATGATAGGGCTGAGAGGAAGAGTTAGCAGCAAATTCTAATTGTCAAGGAGCTAGCCGTGCTTGAAAGACAAGCGGTGGGTGTTTGCAATTAGCCTTAAGGTGAATTGTCATAAAATTACTATGTAGCCTAATGGCAGACGCGATGCTGTTGGCCCTGACAATTGTCCCACATGGCTCAGCAATTTACAGAACTCCTAAGGGCAGTGGCTTTTGCATAGCATTTGATCACATGCCTTTAGGCCACCACGATCCTGTAATCAGAATTTTATTGCCTTCTTCAATTTCACCAGTGGAAAACACTTTGTGAATTCCAGGCAAATTCAAGTCAAGTCCAGCTAAGCGTATACTTAACTCACTTTCCTTAATTGTTGTCTTGTTATTTCCTCACATTTCTCCTTCATTTCTGACAGAATTGGAAACCACTTGCATATTTTGTTCCAAATTACTAGATTGAAAATTATCTTCTGTATGTATGAAGGCTGTTGAGACATACCAGGTTGATTTATTTGCCCCGCCTGGTACGCCATGGAGGAATATGCAAAAAATTGAAGTTCTCAGTTTATTCTCGTGCCCAGGTTATGGCTCCTTGGGGTTGATGACTAGTGTCCTGATATGCCCAGATGGCAAAACTGTTGAAGCTGAAGCTGCTCACGGCACAGTCACCCGTCATTATCGCTTGTACCAGAAAGGTCAAGAAACCTCTACAAACCCGATCGGTAAGTTTGCTACCAGCTGTCTCAGCCATACCTAGAAAATGTGCGTGAAGCATGTTTTGCCACGGCTTATTCCCAAGAATAAAAGTCTCGTTTAGTTCTTGTGCTTATTTTGGTAAGCTGTATCTATTGGTATGGAATATTATGGCTGTAGGAACAGCAGGTTCTGTCTCCAGCACCATTTCAGGGTCCCTTCACTGCAAGGATTACTGCTAGTGCAAAGGAAGTCCCCCCTCCCTCTCCTCCCACCTGTGCCCACCCCAATCTGTTTTGAATCAATTTCTCCAAGCCTCCAGAGCAGATTTCAGAGAGGGCGTGGAGGCAGGATCCTGTTGTGGTAGCAGTTATCCTTGCGCGGGTAGGACAAGTTAGTAAAATGCTACCCCGTGTACAACGTGCTGCTGTTTCACTTGCAGAATGGCTTTTGATCCAGTGGAGGCATCTTCCTGTGCTGACGTGGAAAACCCCCAACAGTCTGGGACAAATTTTGGGGGCGAGATTCAAAAAAGGGACTGGCAAGAATCACCTCCCCTTGTTTCACCCTAGCGGACACCTCTATTAAGAGTCATTCTGCAGGTGGAACAGCAGCAGATAGGAGGGAATGGATTCTGCAGACATATCAGATAGCAAAATAATCGTGTGGGGTGCGTGCTGTGTAGTTTGCACAGCACAGATGAAAATATTGCTGTGTAGTCTGTGGAATTCAAAATGAATAAAGGCAGAAACCCAAACTGTTTCCAGGATTCACGTAGTCTGTCATTCCGTATTTATGGATCCATAGTGTCTCAGGAAACGTGTGTGCCAGGTGAGAGGTGCAAGAAGAAATGTGTGGCAGGAAAGCATTTAAATTCTATTACTTGGATGTCTTTGTCGTCATTCTCTTAATGGGAAAACACTGTGAAGCAGAAATTGGAAACCTTGACACCATTTGAGGAACGAGATTCCCATATGGGGAGATGCAGATGGGTCGCGGGGCCATTACAGTGGTACCTCGGGTTAAGTACTTAATTCATTCCGGAGGTCCGTTCTTAACCTGAAACTGTTCTTAACCTGAAGCACCACTTTAGCTAATGGGGCCTCTTGCTGCCGTCGCGCCCCCAGAGCACGATTTCTGTTCTCATCCTGAAGCAAAGTTCTTAACCTGAAGCACTATTTCTGGGTTAGCGGAGTCTGTAACCTGAAGCAGATGTAACCTGAAGCGTATGTAACCTGAGGTATCACTGTGTAGCTGTGTGTCAGGAGGCTACTTGCTAAAAGACTCTAGAGGAAAACACTTCACAGGGGAAGTTTTGATAATTCAGTTCAAGGAGTGCATTTGCCAGTTGAAATCAAAATTAGATTGTTAGGGGCTCATGGTGCAGGAGGGAGTAATGTGGTAATAGAGAAGGTCATAATTTCAGAAGTGGAACCATTGGCTCAATTCATCTTTTTTTCTCTCTCTCTCTTTCTCTCCTTTTGACCTTTCTCAGCATCCATCTTTGCCTGGACTAGAGGTCTTGCTCACAGAGCAAAGTTGGATAACAACACAGACCTTAAGAACTTTGCTTCTGCCTTGGAAGAGGTTTGCATAGAGACCATTGAAGCTGGCTTTATGACAAAAGATCTGGCTGCTTGTATCAAAGGGTTACCCAAGTGAGTAAACTCAGCCCATTAGGAAAAGGAATTTTGTTACTACATAATGGTAGAATTTGTACAATTAAAAAACACTAAACTGCTTGTTTGGTGTTCATTGCAGCATAGACCTGAATTGCATCCCAAAGACGGGCAATTACAAGAACTGAAAGCAGAACTACTCGGGTCTCCAGTAAAATATGACTGCAGTGTTTTAAGTCATTCTTTGCCAGGGTCGTAGCAGCTAATCCTTATTCTGCCAAATTGTGAAAGCTCTTATTCTGTATTTCATGCCAAAGTCGCCACACAGGCCCAAGGTTAGGGAACATGCATCTAAAATACGTTCTCATGCCTATAAATGTAGGTTTTTGAGAAAGGAATGACCCCCCCCACACACACACATTTTTTCTTCTTAACCAAAGGAAAGGAAGCCTTGAGATACTAGATTGAGGGGTGGAAAGGAGTGGATCGAGATTCACCCCACCCAAGAATGAGAAAAATTCAGATGGCATAAAACATTGTCAGAACATTTCTTGCGTGTGTATAGAACAGCCAAAGTTTGTGCCATGCTGCTCCTGACTGGCACAAACCTGCAAAACTAGCTAATGTTTAAGATCAATTTTAAATCTCATACTACCATAACATTTACGGTTTTCTTTCTTCATCTCAGTGTGACGCGCTCTGACTACTTGAACACATTTGACTTCATGGATAAACTTGCTGAAAACCTAAAGGCAAAGCTCTCTTCCCAGCCAAGACTTTAAGGAGCAGGCCTCAAGAATTGCTCCGGAAAGAAGGTCGCCTGCCACATGAATGAATCGCACTGTTGTGTAGTATAGCACTTGGGGGGGAAAATATGTCTACATTGTCAGATTTTGTTTTTTGTAAAAAGGCACACGGGGCAGGCTAGATGGCTGCCTCTGTGAATTAAGCTGTTAGCCTTCTTGCCAACCAAAACCCACAGTGACAGACACTTACTGGGGGTGGAGATGAGCTCTACAGTGAATGATTTAAATAGGTTTTGTTTTCTAGCTAGCTGTTGGGCCCTTACTGGAGTACGTAAAGCACTGCAAGATTTAAAAACCTAGTGAAATTGGACAAAGGCTGCAATCCTAACCTCAGCTGCCTGAGAGTAAGCCCCAATGAGTTCAGTAGGATTTGCTTCTTAACAGACATGGTAAGAAGTGCACTGTAAAGCCTCACATTGGCAGGATTGTAGGATTCTACTAATGTTAAAGTTGTGAGCATTTGCCACAGTTCAATAGGGCAAAAACTTAGACAAATGCAGTCCTTTTCTTATGTATAGTACCCAAGTTGAAGTGCAGGAATGATTTACTACTGTGTTTAGGCCAGGTATATTTTATTTCCTTTCAGATAGGTTAATGGTGCAGTTTCTCAGACTATTTTCAACCATTTGAACATTCTCTTTTATTCTCATTAAACATTGTCCCATCCATGGCTCCTATTCTTTTTATGGGGGATATTTGGCATAAATAAACTACTAATATCCATCCCTATGTGTCATCTTGTTTATGAATTGTAAGGAGACAACTGGTAAACTGTAGTTCAATTTACAAAATAATCTTTGCACTTGGAACAGGTGTAGGATAGCTGGGTAACTTGCAGATCTAGTGCATGGCCTAAGCAGCATTTAAATGGGGTCATGTCTTCCCTGGAACTCAGCTTTCGACACTTTCATGCAAGCTAATAGTCATATATTGTTTGGAATAAGATCTACAACTCAATAAAATGTTAAACGTTCTACATTCCTGGAGTTCTGACAGGCTTTCAAACATCCAATTGAACTTCAGGTGGAAACGTTTTATTTCTGAAATGCAAATACCAGAACAAAAAAGACTAGGTAAGGGGGAATACTGGAGACCCCAAAGTTTTTTTAAACAGTAACAAACTTGTTTCCTACTAAAAACCGTGAATTCACAACAGGGTCGATTTCCTCTTTTTAGGTTGCCTTGGACTTTCCAGATCCTCTGGGCAACCTCTTTCTTTTAGTGTTGTACACAGGGGACCCGGGGTAGATAGAAAATGTAAATGGGTCACCGCTCCTCAGTTTGCTGCAGCAGAGAAGAGAGAGAAGCAATATAATTTGTTGTACACAGACTGTTTTTGATTTTTATATTCCGGGAAACAGCACCCCCAGCAAGACAGTCAAGGTTTCAGGCCATAGACAGCAAAGGATTCCCATGATCTGTCTTTTGACTCCCTCTCTTATAAAAGGGCACTCGGCATCAAACAGAATACTAACGTGTTAATCTTGGGCAGCGCATAGCAAACTTCTTTTGTCTGTCTTCTTGGCCGTGTTGGAGGTGATTCCAGAGGTACAGAATTGGTTGAATCTTGCAGGACCTTGTGCTCTGTGAAAAGTCAGGAATTGATCACTGCTTAAGCTACACTGAGAATCCCTGTTAAACCTATTAAAAATAAATAAACTCAGAGTAAAGGTAAAGGACCCCCGACCGTTAAGTTCAGTTGCAGACGACTCAGGGGTTGCGGCACTTATCTCACTTTACAGGCCAAGGGAGCCGGCGTTTGTCTGCAGTTTTTCCAGGTCATGTGGCCAGCATGACTAAGTTGCTTCTGGTGCAACGGAATACTGAAACCAGAGCAGCGCATGGAAATGCCCTTTACCTTCCTGCCGGAGCGGTACCTATTTATCTACTTTCAATCTGACGTGCTTTCAAACTGCTAGGTTGGCAGGAGCTGGGACAGAGCAACGGGAGCTCACCCCGACACAGGAATTCGAACTGCTGACCTTGTGATCGGCAAGCCCAAGAGGCTCAGTGGTTTAGACCACAGTGCCACCTGCGTTTCTAAACTCTGAATATCCAGAGTCAATTGAGAATTCAATGTTAGGCCTGATTGGCTACCAAATTGGGTTTTATTTCAAAAGCAGTAGTTTAAATTCCACATGGTTCCCAACGGCAAGTGGTTACTAATGTTCTCCTGTTCCCAAAGGTGCAGGTTTATTTCCCAGACAAGGTATCATTCAGAGATTCACACATGCAACTTGTGCAAAACATCTCTGGATTTCAGGGCACCTCTTTAACATAAATATTACTTCCTATACTTCTCTTCTTCCACTAAAGCAGAAGCACAGCAGCAAAGGAAATTCCTTTGTGGACATGCCCTTAATACCTAATAGTAATAATTCACACAAGGTTAAGAGGCAGGAGATAAAACCAGCACACTATCCTTTGCCCGCATCTTTGATTCTTGGCTTTGGGCAATTTATGGATATTGTAAGGGAGCACAAAGCAGCTATTGTGTTTCTTAGCTGGACTCCCATCCCCCTCCAATCACAGTGAAGAAAACAAAAAACCATCTGTTTCTTCACTTTTTGCATTGGCAAACGTCTAGCACGTGTATAGGGCAAACTTCCATCCAATCATAGACCTTTTGCTTTCCTGAGCTTTCTCACAGTGAGCTGCCACTATACTGCAGTCTAGCTTTCATTTTAGGTGCAGAGCAATAAAAGCTCTGGGCTGGTTGGGAGAGAAAACCAGGTCTGCAAGTTAGCTTAAATCAAGCAAACACAATAGGAGTGCACAGATTTGCACACAGAAAGAGGTGAATGCTGAGATTTAGATGGAGGGCTTCACGCCCCCCCACCGCAATTCACCTATTGAACCTCCTATTGAACATCAACAGCCTCTTTTCATCACTCACCTTTTCCTTGTGCTGTGTTTTGCAAGGTTTCAGGAATTGCATGTGCTGTCTTTTTCTCACATCTGCCAGAAGCCACTTGCTTTGAATCATTTTTTAAAGCTGTTGAGACTTTGGGCAGAGACGAGTTTCTTTCTGGGCTCACTTGATCTTGAAGTGCATAATGTGACTGAACAGAACTACAAGAACGAGGTAAGGTGGTCTTAGAAAGACCAACTGCGGAAGACTCAGGAGTTTTGGGACATACAGCCACAGAGTCAGCCTGAGGTGAAGCCTTAGGAAGATCCCTATGGAAAGAATCTTGCTGAGTCCTGGAACCTGAACCTCGAAATGCGGAATGCACATTCCCTAGAGAGAAAACAGGGGTTGCATCTTCTTGACTTGTTGATTGAGAAGTGAAACTCAAATTCTTCCTCTTCCTTTTATTGGCTCTTTGAGCACTCAGACCCATGTCTGTTTCCCCATGTTCTTTCCCTGCATTATCCTTGCTCGCTTTAACTGTTTTGTGTTTGTGCCCTTCTTTAGCCTTGGTTTCTTGAGGCTGCACATCAACATTGAAGCTCTGTAGCTCCATCTCACTGATCTCCTGTTGTAAACAAATTTCCCGGGTCGTCTTCTTGGGTTTTTTATGCTTCACATTCAGATCCAGTGTTGCTTCTTCGCCAGGAATCTGCTTTTGGAAACCAACCAACTGTTTTGTACCAAGAGCATGCAGTGGTGCCTTGTTGCTTAACAAACTAAACTCCGGACTTTGGAACACAATTCCTCGATCCTCTAAGTTTTCCGAGGGTGCATTTCCTTCATGTGCAACGGGAACAGAATTGTTCTGATAATCTAGAGGACCTAGCTCTAACACAGAGGTCCTTCTACAACTCCTGGTTTTATCGGAACACTGGGAAGTATGTTTCACATTGCAGGCATGGCTCTTTTTATCTTGTAGTTTATTGCTTAATGAGATAGTATCTGGATTTTGGAACTGACTTTCTGAATTCTTCATTCTTCCCAAGAATGTTCTTTTTTTTGTTTCCTGAATCAAAGCATTGCAGTCATCTACATTGCTTAGAGAAGTCTGGTCCACTACATAGGTCCTTCTGCAATCCCTGGTTTTATCAGAACACTGGGAAGTATGTTTCACATTGCTTAATGAGATAGTATCAGGATTTTGGAACTGACTTTCTGAATTCTTCATTTTTCCCAAGAATGTTCTTTTTTCAATTTCCTGAGTCAAAGTGTTGCAGTCATCTACCTGCTTTGGAATAGTCTGGTGCACTACATATGTCAATCTGCAACCTCTGCCTTTATCACGGTGCTGGGTACTATCCGCCGCCTCCTGGCCGCAGCTGTTCAGTGGTGGTCTTTCTTCCAGAGAATTGACTTGACTTGACTCTTCAGTGTGACGTGCAGGCTCCGGAATTGTCATCGCGCTACTGTTCGATTCAGAGGTTTTGTACGGTACTACCACAAAAGTATTCCTTATTCCACTGTTATAATTAACCAAATGTCCTTTTGACTGCCTGACAGCAGAAGAGCTCCTGTGCACATTCCCCATACTCACTTTTTTTACAGCTGTGGTTTCATTGGCTTTGATTGTCTCATAGCTTTTATTATTGGTGTCTGGTGCCAAAAGCTCACCAGCCTGACTGACTTCAAAATACTCTTTAACAGCCTGCTCTGATTCCTTTGTCCACTGAAGCACCTCTGAGGACTTCTTTTGAGAATCACCTCCAGATGCAGCTGATGAGCTTGTTCTGCGTTTCTTCCTCTGAGTCACGTGACCACCTGATAACAGCACGCTACCAATGAGTGGTCTCGTAGTCACCTCACAGTGCTGCAGAGGTGAACTGTTACTCAGGACGGACAGCAAGCCGCTCCTGGGACATCGTTGTGTTCTCAAAAGGTTTCCTACAATGACAAATAGCTGAATTTAGTAGGTGAACACATACTTGCTTTTTTAAAAAAAGAATCCATGAACATTCCATTAAGCTTGCGCAGTAAGAAAGCAAGAAACGTAGTTCTCAGTCTAACCAAAGGTCCATCTCATTTCCAACAGAGACCAGGCAGATGCTTCCAGGAAGCTTTAAAGGGCTTTAAAGCAACAACCCTCCCCCCAACCCCACTTCATATTGTGTGTCACGCCCCACAATTAATATTCAGACATTATACTAAACAACGGCAATGTTTAGTATGCAAATGAGCCTAGCCACTTCCTGGACTCATGCATTTTTCATTTCCCTCGCACAACCAAGGAGTTAAGAAGAATTTGTTTCCATTTTCAGTTAATTGTGGCTTCCCATGTTATCTGAACCGGGAATTGTAGTTAGTGGTGAATCTAGTTAGCTTCAACAAGCCAGCTTTCTAACCCACATAAGCATGCATAAAATTGTTTCCAATTGTGTGTGCGTGTGTGTGTTGACGTCTATGCCCATTCTGTAATTACAAAAGCTTTTTGGTGGCAACCATCAAATGGCACTTATATCGGGCATGAAGTCTTTGCTGTTCTTTAAAGCACACGTCAAACAGCAAGGCATTCTTTTATACGATTCTAGACCTAACTCCAAAAGCCCACTGCAAGCAATCTGATCAAACCTCAGGCAAAACAAGCTGTGGCTCCCATTGCATGAAGGGGGAGTGAGAAGAAGGAAGGTGGCAGCAGAAAGAGAAAAGGGGGGGGGAGCAGCCCTGCCTACTTTCTACTCTGTCCCCACTCAGATCTTCTGCCAGCTGACATGTAATTCCCTCATGGGAACACAGCCCTCATCAGAAAAAAAAGTTTGCCTGCTTAGGAAAAATGGCATTTGGTACTGAAGACATGCCTTAAAAGCTATGCCTTTTAAGGTTGCCTACATTGAGTGTAACACTCACAGTCTGATGCAATAGGTGGGGTTCCATCCAGACCTCCACGATATAGTCTTGGCCAAATCTGCTTGCCATTCCTTATCCACAGCCCACAACTGACTTTAACTTAAGGACCATCACTTGGGACTAAACAAACCCTAAAGACAAGGTTATAGAAATTTGGCTCTTATTTCTTCCCCCAAATGCTCACAGGACTGTAAAAGAATAATTAAGCATGATGCACACTGAACCTACTGCCCAGTACTGAAAAGGAACAGAATTGTGCATTCCTGACTGGTATACTCCCAGCACCAAACAGCACAGTAAATAAATACATAAGTAAGACGCAGATTCCCATCTTACACTGCAACGTACAGAATACAGGCAGTTCCAGTGTCAGGTTGAGCCAGGAGTAACTGGAAATAGTCCTCAAATGATTCTGTACCACATCTGTAGTTAGAAGGAAGAGACAACCTCCGTGCCACATAAGCTCAGGCAATGAATAAAATGTGCAGCCTGATCTTATACATGGTTATTCAGAAGTAAATCCCACTGGGTAGGCTTACTTCCAAGACCACAGATGTGGCCGTCCCAAGCATATGGCTTTCAGGTTAACATGTGTCTCTCACTCATACAGAGGGTGCTATGTTTAATTTATGGAAGTATTTATATCCCACCCACTCACATAATATATCAAGGAGGTGCACAAAATAAAAATCGTAAAACAATGTAGAATCATCACAAGAATGAGTGGCTCACCTAAAAAGAAATTCAACAAATAGATTTGTCAGCATATAAAAAGGTTTTCAAGAGATGTTTGAAGGTTACTGGGGTTGCCTGCCAGATATATGCCGCATACAGCCAAAGTAAAAGTAATTATATGATAAAAGCTCTGTTATACCACCAAAAGGCGGGTCCCGATCAGGTGCCAATGCAGTGCCTTCCTCTTCATCCTGAGGTCTGCTCAGCTTGATTGCTATTTGCAAGTGGCTGTTCATATATTGGTGCAGTTCGTGAATAGATTTGTTCTGCGCACAAACAAAAAGGTTAACATTTTTAAACTGATCGAGTTTAAATTAAAAAAAACAAGCAAACCAGGCCTAATAAGCATTGGAAAGCTTAAGTTAAAGACTCTTTACAGTATTTTCAAAGAAGCAATTAGAATAATGTTCTTCTTTTTATTATGCATTCTGTGTTTTCATTTTGAATTTTAATGCTGTGAACTGCCCTGAGAGGGAAGAGGGGCAGTATACAAATTAACATAAATAACATTCCTAATAATTTCCCCATGGGTTCTTTTATAGTTTTAAATATGATTTTATCTCTGTGTTGTAAAGTATGTATGATCTATTAATTAATCCATAAATCTTAATCCATAAATTAGTAACAAGAGCTTCCAAAATTAAACAAAATTTGTTTCTCCACAGTTGCCTTTCTTGTTTCTTATGACTTTGGTTCTCATGGACCTTATCAAGTATTTGTAGGATATGCCATGTCAATGTGTGTATCCCCTTGACCAAGGTTCCCTAATCCAGCCTTCTGTGACTCAAGACACCCAATTCCTCGTTACACCCTTCCAAAATGCTAATGGGTGTGGGTGTGTGTGTGTGTGCGCGCGCACCAAACTGGGTCTTTGACCCGGGTAAAATAAAGCCTAGTTTCACCCCTGGTTTATGCACCATTGAAGAAAAGGTTCCAGTTACCACAGAGAGAAATAACATGGCTGCAAATACCGTACCACAGAGAAGAGCTTTCGGCGCAGTGAAGCATTTTCAAAGTGACACGATTCCACTTCTTTTTGCAGTAGCATCTTTTCAGCAGTTAGTCTTTGACTAGCTCCCTTTGCACCATTGAGAGCTAAAGCCAACGCTTTGTTGTTCTGTTTTAGGGAGAACTTAATTATAGAGGAGTTATCTGTATTTTTCAAAAGAGGGAGAGAGAGAAAACGGGTGGTTTTTGTTAGCTTTAGTGGCCAACCCTTTCCAAAATTTTGCCTTATCAAGACAAGAACAGAAATCAGCAGCCAAAATTGGTAGGTGAGCTCCAATCAACATAGGAAACCTGTGTACCCTACCACAGACTTATGCTGGGTATTATGAAGCAAATTCTTACTGGTCTTCCCCTGGGCAATCAGCAGTGGCTTGGCAAGGTTGAACAAATGCAGTTTCAATCACTAATATTATGCTGCTGTTTAGAGTCATAAGACCTGTGCCATAAATCATACATCTTTTTCAGAGAACACAAAAATGCCAAAGAACTGTCAAGAAAAATGGCACAGGAAGTGATTTATAAGTATCACCACTGGCCTTAGCTGTGTTTTCAGTCCCAGTGCAGTGGCATTTGAGTGGTCAAATCTTCCCCAATCCTGCTAACAGCTGGGTTATCATCTTCTCTCTCCTCCCTCCATTTACAGAAACCTAGTGTTTCTCCACATTGCAGGGATATGCAGCAGCAGCAGCAAGGCTGGCATTCCCTAAACCAGACTCATGCAAATACACAGCACTCCATCTGTATAACCAACTCAAGCTGCACCATCTGTGGTTTTGCTGCGCGGAACAGGTGGGGGGAAATACCGTATTTTTTGCTCTATAAGACACACCAGACCACAAGATGCACCTAGTTTTTGGAGGAGGAAAACAAGGAAAAAAATATTCTGAATCTCAGAAGCCAGAACAGCAAGAGGAATCATTGCGCAGCGAAAGCAGCAATCCCTCTTGCTGTTCTGGCTTCTGGGATAGCTGCGCAGCCTGCATTCGCTCCATAAGACGCACACACATTTCCCCTTACTTTTTAGGAGGGAAAAAGTGAGTCTTATAGAGCAAAAAATATGGTAGGTCCTATAAGGCTTTTGTTCTGATAATGCCCTATATTGGCTGTGCTTGCGGTTGAAGATTAAACCTTTCCAGCATGTAAGCTCAGCTCTGTGATGGGGAAATCGCCCCATAGCCCAGCCATGTGATGGATTTAAACCTCTCGCCTCAGCCCATTGCTGACAGTGATGAGTGTGCGCCTGTGGGTTTTTTGTTTTTGTTTTTTGTGTGTGTGTGTGTGTGTGTGTGAGAGAGAGAGAGAGCCAACCTGTTGCAGGTTTTTTCAGCAGGAGTTGGATTGCCATCTATCATGGATGCTTTAGCTGAGATTCCTGCATTGCAGGGGGTTGGACTAGACTCTCTACAATTCTATGATTCTGTGTGTAAGTGAAGGATGTATGAATGAGTTTAATGACGACTTTAGTCACATTCACTTAGGCTGTAAAAGGTCAGCAACTCTTGTCTTATAACTCACCTCAATAGAATAGTCCAGGTCTCCAGTGAAGCGCCAGAGCTCAAGCATAACAAATTATTTTTAAATACTGCCACTTACTTATTGTTTTTGTTTTGATCTTCGATGCAAGAGAAGCATTCAGCTTTGCCGTCTTCAATGCACCATTTTTCTTTTCCTTCATCCGTTCCCTGACTTCACTTGTGAAGGAAATGGATGTTTCTTCAAGTGCCTGAAGTGACATTTTTCAGGCAGTCCTGCCAGTTGTTCAGAAAAAGAAAAGTCTGCCATTATCATCCTTTATATTTGCAAAATACTCTACCATCATTATGTTGCTTTTATGTTTGCACTGACTTATACTCCAGGCCCCTTCGGAGTCTGAAGGGACTTCCTCTGCTCTACCACATTGTTGCATTGCATAGACCAGACTGAAGTGTAGAGAAATCAAGCGATTTGTTCACGCATTTGCAAACCAATGCCGAGACAGAATACTTTTGCAGCCCAGTGTATATGCTTACTGTGAAACAAGTTACGATACAATACGATAATCTTTATTGTCATTGTCCCATACGGAACAACGAAATTGAAGAAAAAAAATCTACATAAGACATTCAAAACCAATAAGTCTGCTATCCCAGCTATCCCAGCCTGGTTAGCCCCCTAAAAACTCTGATACCCCATTTTAAAAATACAATACACTCCTATAGAGACTCCTTAAAAGGTAAGGGTAAAGGGACCCCTGACCATTAGGTCCAGTCGTGACCGACTCTGGGGTTGCAGCGCTCATCTCGCTTTATTGGCCGAGGGAGCCGGCGTACAGCTTCTGGGTCATGTGGCCAGCATGACTAAGCTGCTTCTCGCGAACCAGAGCAGCGCACGGAAACGCTGTTTACCTTCCCGCCGGAGCAGTACCTATTTATCTACTTGAACTTTGACGTGCTTTCGAACTGCTTTGTTGGCAGGAGCAGGGACCAAGCAACGGGAGCTCACCCTGTCGCGGGGATTCGAACCGCTGACCTTCTGATCGGCAAGTTCTAGGCTCTGTGGTTTAACCCACAGCGCCACCCGCGTCCCCCAGAGACTCCTTACACTGCGTTGAAAACCAAAATCGCATTTGGATAGAAACTGTTTCTCAGGCGGCTAGTCCTAGTCTTTATAACCCTGTACCTTCTTCCAGAAGGCAGAAGCTGAAAGAGATCATTTCCGGGGTGCGCACTATCCTGCGCTATCTCTGCAGCTTTCTTATGGTACCTGGAAGCATAGATTTGATCCAAGGTGGGAAGAGGGCACCCAATTATTCTCTCCGCCATCTTTACAACCCTGGACAGCATTGTTTTCTTCCCTGACCGTGCAGCTCCCAAACCACATATCTTTATGTGACAGGTAAAAATGTTTCCCTTCAACCAGACATTCGGCTTTTGAAATGTGTTTGTGCGAGGGGGGTTACTGGCTTGTTTCTGTTTTATGTGTTTTTTGTTTTGTTTTTTTTAAATGATATTTATTAAAGTTTCACAAAGAAAAAATCACATCAACAAAAAAGAAAAATTCAAGAATATAAAGAAAAGTACACAAACAAAATACAAAAAGAAAAAACAGTTAAAAAACAATTCCTTCTTTTCATCACTACTTTTACATTTACTTGTTTCCCGGACCTCCTCATACCTCCCTCTTTTGTATTCCAATTCAGTTTGTTAGTCCAGCAATTCCTTTCCCTCCTTTTTAATCCCAATCCTTAATCTTAATATAATATAACATTAAATTTCTACCTATTAAAAACCAATTTTCCATTCTTTTAACCTTTTTAATCCTAATCCTTAATCTTAATCTATTTATAACTTTAAAGCCTATACAGCTAAAAGCCACTTAATTTCAATCCAATATCACTCTAACATTTCTGTTTTATGTGTTTTGTATCCTCATCCTGTATTTTTCTGTCGTGAACTGCCCTTCGGGGTCTTCGGGTAAAGGTTGCCCCATACGTTTAATAAATAATAAGTGCATTTTTAAACAGAATTAAGCAAAAGAAACGTGGCTGAGGAAGCAAAGGACTTAAGGCTAAGATGTTGTACATGCAGATATATACATCCCCCCCCCGCCCCCGAATCATAACCATTAAATTACAAGGAAAACATACTTACCACTTTCATTCAAAAAATGAAATTCCCCTCCCTCTGGCAACCCAGTTCAATCCGCCAAGCGGCCTCTCAGCCTCCTCCGAAAAGCGGGACTGTAGTTAGTACTTCATTTTGAAAGAAAACAACAACAGCAACAAGGATTTGCTAGGGTTAAGGCCCTGGATAAAGAAAGTCCGCCCTCGCTTGCTTTCTTTCTTTCTCCTGTCCTTTCCTCTAATTCCTCTGCAACATTCTGCGCGCAGCGCTATAAGCAAAAACCGCGTTTGGGTTTGGACTTTATCATGTGATCCGCTCCAAGCGACGGGATTGGCCCTTCCGTCAGCCGCTGCGTTGACTCCGCCCCTTTCACCTTCCAAGAACTACAGCGCCCAGAATTCCTTGAGGGGCTGAGGCGTTTCCTGTCCTAAATTTTAAAAGGAACAAAATAAATAAAAACGTGTTGTTGTTGTTGTTGTTCGTGCGCTCTTAAGAGCCGCTCTGCGCGGCCGCTCTGTTCCCCCGGCAGCCCTTTGGCCTGCTTGCCTCCTCCCGCGTGTGAGGGAAGGGCGAGGCCTAACTCCCTCGAGATGAGCGGGCTTGCGTCGCCATGGAAACCCGCGCAGCTTCTGCCCAGAGATGAGGCCCGGCCTGCCCGTGAGGCGGCAGCATTTACAGGGGCAGCAGACCTCAAAGTAGACCTTTACTTTCTTCCCTTGTTCCTGGTCTACGCTCGCCCCCTTTTCCCTTCCGAGGACCAAGAGAATGCCATTTTGTGGTTTTTTTTTAATAAAATATTTATTAAGATTTTTTGAAATATTACAGTAAAGATGAAAAAGAAAAGAGAAAAATACAAAATAAAAACAGTTAAAAACACACATATTTTCAGTTACTTATGTTCAGGGAAGCTTTTAATCTGTGATATTTTACTGTATTTTTTGTTTCTATGGAAGCCGCCCAGAGTGGCTGGGGAAACCCAGCCAGATGGGCGGGGTACAAATAATAAATTATTATTATTATTATTATTATTATTATTATTATTATTATTATTATTTTCCTTTAGCTTATTTCCCGGACCTCCTCGTACCTCCCTTTTTTGTATTCCACTTCAATTTATTGGTTCAGCAAATCCTTGCCATTAGATTTTAACCCATTTATCACCCTTTTTTTCATATTCTCTTAAAGCATTACAGCTAGAAACCACTTAATTACTATCCAACATCATTCTATCATTCATTAATTTTACAATATTTCTGTAAATAGTCTTTAAATTTCTTCCAATCTTCTTCCACCGACTCTTCCCCCTGGTCTCGGATTCTGCCGAGAATGCCATTTTGTGGTTTACCTCAGGTGCCAAAACGTCTTGGTCCAAACCAGTGCTTTTTTTCTAAAAAAAAATGTTTGGGATACTCTCATTTTCCTACTCATGTTGAAATACTGCCCCTCAATGAGGCCAAACTTAGATTCCCAAAATGTTTAAGGGTACCCCTGCGTCCCCCCAGGAAAAAAGCACTGGGCCAAACCCAGCAGAGATGCTGGTGGCATCAGGGCTGGGCAGCCTAGTAGTTCAGATCGACAAAAGGTGCGCCAAGATCCCTGGCAGGAAAACGTGAGGTGCTCCCCCATGCAAATTGTCCCACGTTTACTTTTAATAGCACTGCAGACTTCTGCAGCAGCTCATGTTCTAAAGGCGCAATCCCATGCGTGTTTGATCAAATCCCACTGTTTGATGGAGACAGTGCAGCTTTAGTCAGTTTGTAGCAGCTGTCACAATTCGGCAAGTTCTGCACTTGCATGCACATACACAATGTGGCATTATGGTCAGTCATTGTCTATGAGAACTGCAGGAGCCAGGCACTGAGACCATCCTGACTCTAAATTATAACTAAAGATTGATATAGCATGACTAAAACAATTGGCTAATGATTGATCATAACATGAAAGCAATATAATAATCGAGTTCACGTAGATGTGGTCAGCATATGCATTAAGAACAGGATCATATTGAACTGAGGAATGAGGGAATGTCTTGAGTGTTTAGTAACAGGTTTGTACAGTGTGTGCAGAAGCAGAGAATAGATTATAGCTAGACTTCCCAGAATGCAGAGATAAGAAGCAATAGTTCTCATAGCAAGACTTCCCATAATGCCACAGTTATGTGCAGGAATAGAACTATCCATGTTATCTCCTCTGTTCTGTTATTGTTATGTTAGGTGTTCTGTGTATATTATAGGCATATTATATTAGTATTAGTAGTGTACTAGCTAATTACATGCATGTTCAACTAGTATTTTTGCACCTGCATTCATACACACAAAAATCGCAATCGGTCTTCATTGTCAGGGGTGCGTGCAGGAGCCAGGCCCTGTGACCATTAGGACTCTGCAGGACTGGGGGCTTCCCAAGTTTGTTCTGAAGAGGCACAGGTGAGGCCGATTGGTAACTCACAGCACCTGGTGGCAAGAGCTCGGAAGGGATATAAGATCAGCATTTCCCTTAGGCTCTTTGCCACAGCAACACACTTCCTGATCCTTGACCCTCAGCTCTGCTTTGACCTCGGACCCTGATTTCTGACTCTGCTCCTGGCCCTGGACTCTTGGCTTGACCCTTGCTCTGACTCAGACTCTGGCTTCTGGACTCCCGTTCCTGCTCCCACCCCACCATCTTGCCCCTAGTCCTGATGTCCCCTGCCAGGACTTTGATCGCCCGTGAACCGGACCATGACATTCATATTCTGTGTAATACTGTTAGGAGTTTGGGCAGCAGGGGTAGGCTTGTATGCAAGGGCCCCTTCTAATTCCTGGATCCAGCAAGTGATCAAAGTGGTAAAACAAGGATTCGAGTTCTTGAAATAAGACAGGCTAGCTTCCTGATGAGGTAGTGGCCTGAATATGGGTCATTAAGGTAATAAAGGAAGTTGCTCTGTACCAGAGTGGAGAATTGAGTTGTGTGAGCTAGAAGCTGGGAGTAAAGCAGCAGGCTGGGAAGCCAGAAAGACAGAATGCCTGATTTCTGCTTGAATCCAAGGCTGTGGCTATGGGAGAAGCAAGACCTTTTTGGGGTGTTAATGGTGTGAAACCCTCCATCGTGGGCTCAGGTTGTATATATGTGTAATAAACCATATATCATAAAGACACCACAGTCTCCGCTGTCCCTCATTCTGAGAAAAAACAAACCCTGGGTAAACCCCTGGAATCTTGCACCACTCAGAGATTGGGGTGTCATGCAACAAATACTGTTGAGTTGAACGCTGCATTAAATTAAACACACTTAACATCCATTTGATTTCAATGTCCTTAGGTGTGCTTCAATCCACACAGGATTAGACTTCAAGTGTCCCTAGGAACATGTCAGTTCTTTGTTTTCTTGACCCCTTGCTTCCTTTTGATGCAAGTGATTGTTGACGCAAACTGTTACATCCAATAAGGTCCACGGCAGAAGAGGGACCAGTTCTCATTTATCAACCAGCTATCAGTGTTTCAGATAAAACATTTAGCTTTGAAATCCAATGCCTTGGCATGTAAAAGGATCTCTTGCACTCTGACCAGGCAGCTCAGCCCAACGGGGAGCTGCTTGCTAGTACTGTATTCTTTTTCTTAAAAATTCAGTTCAGCAATATTGTGTTTCTAAGCAACAGACAAGTGGTTCATTCTCTTGCTTTCCCTGAGCAAGGCTTTCATTTCTGATAAGGCTCAGCTGGACAAGCAAGAAGAAAATAACATCATCTGGACAGAAGGCTTTTCTAATGATACCAAGTCAATGAAATCCAGAACCTGAGTCTTTTTAATAACCATTGCGTGGGAAGAGGTAATGGCTCATTTTTCATCCATTTATGTAGAAGTACCACACTGTATCGTCTCTAAGATGCTATTTAAGATGTTGCATTCTTTTCACAGCTGACAGTCAATTCATTTATCTCACTGCTAAATGGACAGAAGGTAGCATGCAATTTTGCTTTACAAACAAAGTACTTGTAGCTGCTAAATTTATTTTGATGTTTTTTTGATTTAGCCCAGAATCTCCCTTGAAACCTCAAATTTATTTTGTTGTTAATAGAAATACAATTTCATTAGAACAGAATGTGTAGACCTTACCATGCCAATTTAGGTTCTTAGAAAAGAAATTAGGATCTTAGAGAAGAAACAATAAGAATAACTCAACAGTTGCTCACAAAATAATTATCTTTCTTTCACACATCAGATATGTTTAAAATACGGTTTACAAGTATGTTACGCATTCATGTTTCAGGTATGGGAATCTGTGGATGGGTTTTTGTTGTTAATAGAATTCACTGATATCAGTATTTACAGTGAAATATCACCACTGGAATATATTATTTCTATTTTTTCTGTGGTTTCTTATCCTTAAACGTGTGCATATATAGTAGGGAAATGTACCATTAATATACAGTGGAAGATTTTTATATTATTGGATCCTGGAGGAAGGTGTGTACAGGGAATAGTGGGTTCCCAAGGTAGAATTACATGTGCAGATTCTTTGTGCGTTGCATAGCATGCAGCTGTTAACTTTGTAAAGAATGCTGCAGCTGCTGCTAGACCTGAGTAACATTATGGGCAATGCCAAGAGGAGGATAAAAGGTAAAGGGACCCCTGGCCATTAGGTCCAGTCGTGGACGACTCTGGGGTTGCAGCGCTCATCTCACTTTATTGGCCGAGGGAGCCGGCGTACAGCTTCCAGGTCATGTGGCCAGCATGATTAAGCCACTTCTGGCAAACCAGAGCAGCGCCGTTTACCTTCCCACCGGAGCGGTACCTATTTATCTACCTGCACTTTGATGTGTAATTGGTGCTCCACCTATCACGGGGATTTGAACCGCCGACCTTCTGATCGGCAAGCCCTAGGCCAGGGGTCTGCAACCTTTAAGACAAAAAGAGCCACTTGGACCCGTTTCCGAAGAAAAAAAAACTGGGAGCCGCAAAACTCGTCATTATAAAAATAACTTTTTTGTCACTTTTTTATTATTTCTTTGTTTGACCCCTCAGAATTACTCCTCCTCATAGAAATAAACGTTAAATTAACAAGTTACCTTTGTGTGTGTGTGTGTGTGTGTGTGTGTGTGTGTTCTTCACTCCCCTTCAATGCAGTGACCAGCGTACATGCCCCCTTTCAATATAGCAGGCGGGCGGGCGGGAAGGTGACGTCGGGACGGTGCATGACTAACGCACGCACCGGCCCCATGCGACGTCACAGCCAGTACAGCGCCCGCCACAGTGGGGAGTGTCGGGGCACACAATGCACCTCCTCCCCTCGCTAGTATCCGCCCCGGAGCCGCGGCAAAGGTGTAAAAGACCCCTGCCCTAGGCTCTGTGGTTTAACCCACCACGCCACCCGCATCCCATAGGAGGAGGATAGGGGCTCCTATTAGTAGCCTCTAATCAGGGAAGCTGGCAGGTCTGCCTACAGTTGGCTGTGTATCTTGAAATTGCTAACATGAGCAAACTTGTTAGCTTACAAGCTCATGACCTCCTAGTTTTCCTTTATTGACTTACCTATCCTTAATGTCTTATGTTCATTCATTGTACATAGTTCTTACCTAACTGGACCTTTGCAGCTGGCACGTGGAGAAAGAACACACAAATTAATGGAGAGAAAACGTTTGAAACAAGAGATTGAAAAACTCTTGTAAGTACCACCTTCTATCTTTTTTTATATATACTGTACTTTAAAGTAGATTCATATCTAATAGCTGCATTTTATACCCAATGTGCATAGCACCTCACACTTTCCTATCCCACCCCAGCGCACACAAGTAATAATGCACTGAGTGGCTGAGCATTGGTCCTAATTCAAAATTATTCTTTTCCTGGAAGGGGAGATTATGTTGGTGTCAGACTTCGGGAAAATGAATTTGACCCACAAGGAAAGAGGAAGACTACCTTTCTAGATGACTTGGTAAGCAACTACTTTACATTCTTGCTGGCTTTTAGCCAAAGGCCTTTGGGGAAGGCTGCAGTTCAGTAGTACAGCATCTGTTTTGCATGCAGACGCTCGCAGGTTAAATCCCTGACATCTCTAGGGAGGACTGGGAGTGCTCCCTGCCTGGCAGTATGGAAGGGCATTGTAGACAGTCATTCGGTGTAGACAATCCTGAGCTAGAAATTGACTGACTCAGTATAAGGCAATAAGGAGAATCCAGGTGATGCATAATAACTATGATAATATTTTATTCTCTTGTTAATTTTGCTGTTTTAAATGTGCATTTTGTATTTGTCTTCACTTAGCAATGTTTTTATTTATTTATTTTTTGAAATGTTTAAGTTTTTTTGTTAACTTTGTGTTAAATATGTATTCTGTAGTCCTCCTTTGTAATGTTTTATTTTGAAATCTTTAAGATAACATTTTAGTTTTAGTTTTCTGTTAATTATGTTGCTTTGACTGTATACTTTATATTTAACTTCCTTCAGATTGTTTTATTGATGTTTTAATATTTGTAATCAGCTTTGAGATTTTTCTTAAAAATATAAAGCGGTATAGAAATGAAATCAACAACAACAACAACACCAAATCTAATGTCCTTATCAATCAGACAAACTTCATTCCCCCACTAAGGAATGATATATAAAGGATGTCATTTCCTTGCTTGTGGAGGAGGACCCTTTGGCTCATTGTGTCAGCTCCGTGCTGCTGGCAGACATGCTCATTGGACACAGCCACCAGCAGAGGTGGCCATTTAATTGTAGCATGCCAAAAAGTGGCATCTCCCATTCAGAAGTGAGTCAGGAGTACAGGAAACAAATACTTTCATGGTGCACTACAGCTTTGGCTGCATGCACACTTTACCCTTAAAACATATTCAAAACACATTTTCCCCCTCAAAGAATTCTTTGAGGGAATTCTGCTCCTAGGGGGAGCAGGCCAGCAGTGGCAGCCATGGAGAGACAGCAGGATGCTCCGCCACTGCCGCCGCTGCAGTCGCTCAGAACAAACACAGGCTCATCCTCCTCTCTGAGCTCAGCAGCAGCAGCACTGGCTGGGGAAATCAGGACATTTCAGGATCAAATCAGAAGCTGGGATGGCTTTCATAATTTAGGAGCTGTCCCTGGAAAATCGGGACACTTTCAGCTTTTGCACAAATGCACTGAATCAGTGCAGCGACGAGTGCTGCCTATTGGGAACTCTATTTGCAGGATAGGCTGTGTAACGTAACCAAAGATAACACAGACCCTGTGAGTCAACAACACACATGTTTGAGCTGTGCTAAGTTCTCTTTTCAAGGGTAGGTGGTCAAAGCAATCCAAAAGTAGACCAAAGCAACCCAAACCCTGTGGGTCAACAGCACACATGTAACACATTTGAGTTGCACTAAGCCGTTGGCCCCAGCTCCTGCCAACCTAGCAGTTCAAAAGCACGTCAAAGTGCAAGTAGATAAATAGGTACCGCTCTGGCGGGAAGGTAAACGACGTTTCCGTGCACTGCTCTGGTTTGCCAGAAGCGGCTTAGTCATGCTGGCCACATGACCTGGAAGCTCATGTCATGACTGGATCTAATGGTCAGGGGTCCCTTTACCTTTACCTTTAAGCTGTTGTGCAAAGAAATCATGTAGTTTGACATTACACACAAACTTTTTTCTCTTTCAGGCTCACTATGACCTGGCCATAAATGTTGCTTTACCTTGGCTCAATGATTCAGAAGCCCAAATGCCTTGGGGAAAAGAAAAAAGGCAAGTGTAAGGTCTCACCGTTGTAGTGATGCTGTTAATATGCGTAGGAAAGCTGGAGCCAGGGTGTTTTTTTCAGCCACAACTCGCCAGAACCCAGTTCCGGCACCTCTCAGGTGGGCAACATTGCTATTATAAGAGAATAAGAGAGGCGTTCATGGTGAGTTCCGGCACCTCTTTTTCTAGAAAAATAGCACTGGCTGGAGCTGTATGTTTAATCCACTACCCATTTAAAAACTTACATTTATGGGGCCCTCCAGATGGTCTTTTTATTGCAAATTTATGCTGATAGTGCTCATGATGCCATCAGAGTGGTCACACGCAATTCCACTCTCAATACTGTTTGCATCTGCAAAAGCTTTGGGGTAGTCACACTGCTTCACTTCCAATCAGTGCATATCCTGTTACTTTCTGCTGAAATCTTGTAACTTTTTATTCCTTTCACACTCCACTTTTGTTGCGCTATAGCCCCTCCAAACAGCAATAATGTGGTGGCAATGGGGAAGCATTACAGAACAAACCAAAGCAGGATTAATTCAGCACCAATGCATTATTACTGTATCAAAAATATGTTGCAAAATGCACCCACAACAAAACACCAATCTGGAGGAACCCTAACTCTAACCCTAACCCCAGAGGACAGGATCACACTTCAAAATGACCTTGACAGATTAGAGAACTGGGCCAAAACAAACAAGATGAATTTTAACAGGGAGAAATGTAAAGTATTGCACTTGGGCAAGAAAAATGAGAGGCACAAATACAAGATGGGTGACACCTGGCTTGAGAGCAGTACATGTGAAAAGGGTCTAGGAGTCTTGGTTGACCACAAACTTGACATGAGCCAACAGTGTGACGCGGCAGCTAAAACAGCCAATGCAATTCTGGGCCTCATCAATAGGAGTATAGCATCTAGATCAAGGGAAGTAATAGTGCCACTGTATTCTGCTCTGGTCAGACCTCACCTGGAGTACTGTGTCCAGTTCTGGGCACCACAGTTCAAGAAGGACACTGACAAACTGGAACGTGTCCAGAGGAGGGCAACCAAAATGGTCAAAGGCCTGGAAACGATGCCTTATGAGGAACGGCTAAGGAGCTGGGCATGTTTAGCCTGGAGAAGAGGAGGTTAAGGGGTGATATGATAGCCATGTTCAAATATATAAAAGGATGTCACATAGAGGAGGGAGAAAGGTTGTTTTCTGCTGCTCCAGAGAAGCGGACACAGAGCAATGGATCCAAACTACAAGAAAGAAGATTCCACCTAAACATTAGGAAGAACTTCCTGACAGTAAGAGCTGTTTGACAGTGGAATTTGCTGCCAAGGAGTGTGGTGGAGTCTCCTTCTTTGGAGGTCTTTAAGCAGAGGCTTGACAACCATATGTCAGGAGTGCTCTGATGGTGTTTCCTGCTTGGCAGGGGGTTGGACTCGATGGCCGTTGTGGTCTCTTCCAACTCTATGATTCTATGATTCTATTGATCTAAATGGAGACATGCCCACAAATGTTGGTAATGCAGATTAATTTGAGTTTGTGTTAACCTATAAGGGTTATCTTATTTATCCCCACATTATCCTTGGTACATGAAGCTGGCCTGTATTGTGTTGAGTCACATATCTACAGGACTCTGAACTTGTGCATCACATAGTTTGCCAGATACTCCTTACGGGATCGGGAGGCCAAAGGGAGAAAAGACTTTTTAAAGGGATTGCCCCGTATTCCACAATCCTCTAGATCTATAAAACAGAATGAACAGTCCTTATTCCAGAGCTCCAAACAGAAACATTATAGCTTGACTGTTCCAAAACACTATAGAGCATAAATCACAATTCAACAGTCACACTTTTTTTAAGTCTTAAATGGGATCCCAGGTAAAACAATCCAAAACTCCTTTGGATCCATTGGATCCCAAGTCAGCCGTGCTGCTGTCAGGTGACAGGATTGGGTGTGATTGCTGCAACAGCTCTAGGCTGGTGCAGCAATCTGCCTGTCCTCCACTTTCTGCCCTGATCATCGTTAAGGCCCACCAGGCAGTGGCTGAGGTTAGCTCTGCCCCCTGAACCTAGGAAAGATTTGGGCTTTGATACCCCCCTCTTCAATTTCATCATGCAGGTGTGAAAACCACAGTACATATCACTTATAAATTGTTAGATAAATTTACCTGTTACTTTTTTCTTGATTTCCTCTGGACAGGAAGCTACCATTTCATCGACGATATGTTTATCCCAACCGAATTGAAAGAGAAGCTATGATTTTATCATCTTATGCCGGGATGCTAATGGTATAATCCTTTGTTTAAATACTGATTGTTTTTAATAAAAATGGTTGTGTGTAAGACTCCCAAGGAGGAAAAAGATGTTATCAATGAATTAAATTTTCTTTTAGATGTCTTTTTCTTTTAGGCAAGTTACTGTTTTTTATTAAATTGAGGGTTGCAAAATTTGCCCTCTATTTCGGCACTTTGCCTTTCTCTATTTTTTTTTACTCTTACTGGAGTAGAGCAAAACAAAACATTGGCTTTCAATCAGTGCCCTTACTCTGCCTGAGGTGGGCAGTGGGACTGGAGAAAGGACGAGTTTTCCATCCATCTGCTTCTCCTGCCTCACAAATTTGGTGGGCCCTTAGTTAGTTTTAGATAAAACGCAGAAAAATATTTAAAACAAAAACTGGCCTGTACTACTGTGTCTACAGAACAGTATTCCTGTTGAAGATGTCATTGGGATTTATACCACTGGAGCCTGTGCAACACACTGGCAGAGTTCTGCAAAAGTAAGTTACATGCACATTATTAATCTGTTACCAGTTTTAGGCCGTGTGACAAACAGGCTTCCTTTCCTTCGGGGGGCATTAGTCTACTCATACTGACCTTCCCAACCTGCATTATAAGTTTAATCCCATGTTTATCCCATGCTTCTATTAAGGAGTTCAGGAATCAGTGCAGTCAAATGCAATTACCTATAGTATGGCTGTTTTTCAGTTACTTTCAATTCAGCCCCCGGCACCTCTAGCTTAAACAAGCAAAGGAAGGATTAGGTTTGTACTACAACTCCCATCACCACCAGCCAGCGTGGCTAATGATCGGGGTGATGGGGGATGTAAACAACAAGATGTGGAGGACCACAGGCTTATCATCCCTGCCCTAAAGAGTCATTGGCATTCAGTAGTGGGCACAATGAACAATTATAATCTTGATTATACAAGGCAGCGTCTTTTATTCCTATGGGTGTTGCTACACAAACTGCTTTAAAAAAGTTCAACAACTTTGGTCGGCCCTCATGCATGTTCATTTCATCAAATCTGCCCCTCTTTGAAAAAAGTTTGGACACCCCTGGCTTAAATGATACACACACACATATAAACATCATTAACTTTTAATATAACTTCAACAAGTACAGCTAAAAATAAAACTGATAATATTGCATTGTTTCATATATCGAAGTGGCGTGAAGCATGTATGTGTAAGTGAAATCATAATATCATTCTTTATTAATTTGGGGCCAATTACTTGAAATCTTACTGGCTATTAGGGTTCCACATTGGCCATGTTGGGCTTTCCGGTTAGTTTTAATTAGTTAGTTTATATCTTTCTATGCTCCTGGGGGACATGAAGAAACCCACAAAGTGTCTGTGTAAGACTAGTATACAAGCATATATAAAAGCTTTTTATATTTGTGTAATTGATCTTCTGGGAATGTTTTGTGTGTTTCTCTCTCCTGCATAATATGATATATTCCCCAGGCTAAAATGCAGAAAAGGGGGAAAGCAATGAAAAGAATTTTTTCTTTTCTTTTTCTTTACAAAAAGCTTGATACCAGCTGACACTATATGGAGAAGAGTATTATATCAGTGAGTGTTCTGTAGAGAAGTACCATTTGTCCTCTGGCTCAGCTTTACTGAAAGTCCCTGAGAAAATAAGGTGCCCTTCTTGCCTTTGTAAATCTATAAAATCTTGCCAGACTGCAATCGTATTTTCAACCCAGCCCTCTAAAAATTTTTAATTCATAACACTTAGGAGCCTTACATGTGATGCTGAATTACACACACACACACACACACACACACACACAAAAGGTGTCTAGATCATATGTTGGATTACAGCTCCCATCATCTTTGGGCATGCTGACTGTGGCTGATAGGAAGTCCTAACACCTGAAGGGCCGCAGGTTTCCCCATCCCTGGTCTAGATACTTCCCATATTATCTGCAAGACTGCAACAGAGGCCAAATAAGCAGCTCAGCCCTCTTGTATAATACAGGAGAATGCATGTTCCATTCTTTCAGTTGGATTTTCAGTATTGGACTCTTTGCAATCATTTCTTTTCACAATTTGATTCATGTAAGCCTGTGTTGTACTGAGATTATTAGTCCAACTATCCCATTGCCATCTACTCCCAGCTGGCAACAGCTGTCCAAGGTCCCAGGCAGAATAATCTTTTGCAGCCTGACTACTTAAGATCCTTTAAGCAGAGATGATGGGAATTAAACCTAAGCATTCAGAGCATGTGCACTGACTTTTTAAAAAGAAAAAAAATAGTAGTCTAATCTCTGCAGCTCTAGGTTGCTATTACAGCTACTCTCTTTCCCCCTATGGACATGGTTTTGGCATCAGTGTGTATATGTCTTGATGTATTGGGCAGGTAACCCTACAACCATTCAGCACACCTTCGGTATTATCACCCTTTTTATTCACCTGAAGCACTTTCCAGCTGCATTTTAAAATATATTAAAATATCTGCACAATAGACTGGCTGGCTAAACCAGGTGAGGGTAGCCAATGGGTCTCAAACCCTCAATAAGTTAAGGACTTCCCCTGCATGTGAAGACAGGCTTTGGCAGACTGGAAAGATTACACCAAAGGTGGATTCAGTGGTCCAGAAGACTTGCCAAGCTGGAAAGGTAGCCCATCTAGGAGATGGGAAACTCTGATCCTAAACCTCTGCCGCCTTGTGGTATATCTTCAGGAGAGGAAAGGGATAAGGAGTAAACCCTACACAAATCTGGAGTGGAGTCCCTAAGGGGGTGGCACCTTGTCCCCCTCCTTCCAGCAATTCCTGCAGCCAGGCTGGTGCCAAATGTATTGCTCTGCTTTCCTTTGGACCGCATCAGTGAGGCCAAGTGGGGGGTCTTGTTGTCTGGCCAGTCCAGAACCTCCATCTAGACTGCCCAGGCTTGCGCCCTAGGGAGGTCACTTCATTTTGGCTTCACCCCCAGAGGTGCGCTCCATTGTCTCTTGAGACGAATGCCAACAAGAAGTGCTTAAATAAGTGTTATAATACCAATTTTCAAAATGAAATTTAAATCCCCTACTATGTTTCTTGACATCATTTTAGTAATGTGTATAATTCCCCCCCCCATAACTTTTAAAAATGTTTCCTACCAGTCTTAAAGTGGAAGAGCAATGAGTGGATCGCTCTCGGAGCTGTCCATTGGGAGCAGCTATAGGATGCCATCTAGTGTGCAAATAATGTTTCTGTACTAAGCTATAGGCTGCAGGAAAATAACATTGGCTACATTTCAGAAGATCCCATAGTCTATATGTCCTGGTGTTAGGTGTCATGTTAATTGAATCCTAACAAGATTCCATTGTTAAGTGCCTAAAGAAAATAATAGAAAAGCAATGCAGCAGTGGAAATCAATCCTGATGAGATATTGCAAAGAGGAAAGTCAGAAATGGTGAACTAGAATGATAAATAATTAGTGCTTATTACAGTAATTGCAATAACCTACTGGTATTCTGATACCAAACATTTTCGCTCTGGTTTCTCCCAATAATCTCAGCATGTAAATGATGGCCTATAATACTGTAGTCACATATTTGCTGCCACAAGTTATGGGGCGAAAGTAAGGTACCAGTGACTTTGTTTAACCTGCAGGGCCACCGAATTCATCCTTGTAATCTCTCACTGCATCCTTTTGCCATGTTGACAGCCCCCCAAGCTGCAGAACATGCAAGGAAACAGAGTAAGTGGATATTACCTTCTCTCACAAAATTGTGTACTGGTTGTTATGGAGTTTGGGGGGGGGGGAGTTCTGAAGACTTGTTACTTCAGTTTTGCCAACAAGCAAATCTCTCTTATCTATCAGTAATTCTCTGCTACAATTGGGAGATAACTAAAAATAGCCTGCCAGTTTTTTTTTAGATGTAGCTATTTTCCCCAAGTGGGATTGATGATGAGATAACTAGACCAATTGAACTGATAGGATAAACTGCAACAATGTGGACAAGACATTGTAATAGTGGCTCATTCTTGTTGATTTGTATGAGTTTGGGTTTCTGCCCGAACATTTTTAGCTCATTAGACATCATTCAGCCATGATACATTTCCCCCCCAAACCTTCATGCCAACCTCAATGGTGTTGCAGGTGTGGACTGTTGCTAATGTACACAACTTCACAAACCAGTGGTGGGAGTGCACTGGATGCAAACTGAAGGCATACACAGCCTTTCCATTTATGAAGTCTGAGCCCTTTCAAACAGCTTGTGGTACTTTGCCCATAGCTTCTGCTGAAGGCTTCTTTAGCTCAATGTCAATTCTTCATTTTAGTATGTGCTACATGCTTTGGACTTCCAGCAGACAGCTATCACTATAGTCACAGGCATAGGGCTCTTTCTGTGTCAAATGGGCACAATTTGTTGCCAAACAGGAGACAGCTTTCTGAGGCTCCGCAGAACATGCATGAGTCTCACCTCCCTTCCCAGCTCACAGCTGGTGGGAGTGGGTGTTACAAGGACTTCCCTCCCTCATCCCACCTGGATGGACACCATGGAGCTGTCAAACAAGAACCTGGACCTCTGTCTGCCAGGGGATCAGTTCTTCTTAGTTCTGCCCACCTTGAAATTCTTGGAGATTATCAAAAGACAGCCTTGGGCGGTAGTGGAATTAGACAGGGAATACCCAGGATTGGTATGCAGTTTCAGCAAAACATTTCATCCACATTCACTGTTGATCTTAGGAATGTTTCAGGAACATGTCAGCCAATTTCAAGTTAAATGACAAAGGAGGTGGAGGAATGACAATCTATTTTTTTCTCTTTTTTAAGGTGTCAAGTTCCACAGGACAGAAGCAAACAGAAATGCCACCAGCAACTCAAGAAAAACAATGGATGCAATTTAGAAACAACCAGAACTTTTAGTTTCAAGAAAGGAAGATCATGAGAAAGTAGGTTTTTCAAATAATAAATCAAATGAGACCAGACCCCACTAACAACAGAGCTTCTGGTTTCAGGCAGCCTGGTCCTATCCATGTTTACTCTTAAGTTCATGGGCTTTCAGATAGGATAGCAGCCTTAAGGTGCTGTTGGAAGTTACAGCTGTGCTGTCCTTACATTTAACAGGCTTCACTGTTGCTTTAGGAATTCCTACAGGTCTTTATCTCCCACCTCTATTTAGATATTTTAGGCACATCTCACTTACACTCTGCCTCCTCTTGGAATTTCACCATTGTGGCAGAAACCTCTCTCCAGTCGATAAAAGCAGGGGAGTGTCATAAATAAAAACAATAATTTATCCAATGCAGCCATTTGATTGCAGATGTCCTTCCTGTCCATGACCCTGAAAAGTTGTCCCAGTGCTTCTAATCCCAGTCACAGTAGTTTAGTTAGCCTTCTCTGTTCTACTCATATTTAAACCTTAGAAGTCTCATTTCTGTAAACGCAACATACACATGTTGCTTTTCCCTATTGGCTACCAGTTTCATATGTTAGAAAAAAGGGAGCTTCAAGCACTAGGAGCCAGGGAGTTTCCAACATTGCTTTAACAACACGTAGCAGTTTACAGTTTTGTTTTGTTTTCTTTCCACAACTCCAGTACTTTTTTCTGGCGGTACTCAAATGTATGCCACAAATAAAAATAAATTTGATTATTTGATTCATGTTGTTTTGTTCCAAACTACTCAAATCTATTTCTGGATGGCTAGACTAACAGCCCTCTTGAACTATGCAAGATTCACATTTGCTGTGAATTTGAGAGACACAAATTAGATTAAGGTTGATACTCTAGCAGCTCAATCAATCCCATATGAAGCCTCCAGCCAAGTAAGATCTAGAAAGGAGGCCCTGTTCCACCATTCAAACCAGACCGTTTAATCTCATGTTCATTCTGGACCCTTGTGATACTCTGCAGTTTCCATTATGATCACTAGAGGCCACTGGCACACTTGCTTATAAGGGAGAACCGGTCTGACTGGGGAAGTGAAAGTTCCTCCTTTGTCAGGCAGTTCATTTATTTTGAACTGGACAGTGCAGATTTCATTAGATTTGCGTATACTAAATTGCTCTTTCAAATTCTTGATTGTGCCCACAAATCCGCCCACAAGAGAATGGATTGAATCCAGATATTGTGGCCAGTGGTTTGAGACCTGAACCACTCAGAATACCAACCCCTCAGGTGCCAACTTGGTTTGAAAATTAACTTTTACTGACTTCAGCTCATAAGGAATTGTTGCGCCTATTAGCCTGGATTGTCATTGGCTACAGCTCATAGTTTGTTCGGACCAAGTCAGACCATGAGCCTGGCTTCACACATAACACGAAGCCAAACCATGGCTTAGCTCCAAGAAGCACAACAGCAACTGGTTTGGTGAGGAGCAAATCATCTGTGATTTTTCACCGCATGGTTTTGGCTCGGCGCTATGTGAGAACCAGGCCACTCACTCACAGTTAAATAGAAAGCCTAATGAAAAAAGTTAAGATTGTGAGGGTGTTTCCCTTTCATTACAAATAAGAAGCAGTGGTTGCTTTTTCAACAATTAGTACAGTGGTACCTCTGGTTATGTACTTAATTCGTTCCAGAAGTCCATTCTTAACCTGAAACTGTTCTTAACCCGAAGCACCACTTTAGCTAATTTCTGTTCTCATCCTGAAGCAAAGTTCTTAACCCGAGGTACTATTTCTGGGTGAGCAGAGTATGTAACCTGAAGCGTCTGTAACCTGAAGCATCTGTAACCTGAGGTACCACTGTACATAGGACACAGGAATCTGCTTTATAGTGAGTCAAACACTTGGCCAGCCTAGGTCTCGATTGTCTACATTGACTGGCAGAAGCTGCCCATGGTTTCCAACAAGAACTCTCCTAACTGTACCTGGAAATGCCAGAAGCTGAACCTGGGAGCTTCTACATGCATCTCTGAGCTACAGCCCTTCCCTAGCCCACTGCTGCTGTTTCACTTATTATTTTTTATTATTATTATTTTTAATGATTTTTATTAAAATTTCAGTAAAAGATTAAACAGAAAAACATAGAAAAAAATACACAAATACACAATACATAATAAAAAACAGAAAAAAAAAACAGAACAATTAAAAAACAATATCACCTTTCCATTTCCGTTTTTAAATTTACTTATTTTCTGGACCTCCCCATACCTCCCTCTTTTGTATTCCAGTCCAAATTGTTTGTCCAGCAATTTCTTTTCCACTTTTTTGATCCCAATCCTTAATCTTAATATAATATATCATTAAAAATTTTTCCTCTTAAATACCAAATTTCCATTTCCTTCAACTTTTTTCATCCTAATCTTTAATTAGTCTGTCTATAACTTTAAATCCTGTACAGCTGGAAACCACTTATTTTTAATCCAACATCACTCTAACATTCTTTAATTTTGCAGTGTTTCTGTAGATAATCTTTGAATTTCTTCCAATCTTCCTCCACCGACTCTTCTCCCTGGTCGCGGATTCTGCCAGTCATTTCCGCCAATTCCATATAGTCCATCAGCTTCATCTGCCATTCTTCCAGAGTGGGAAGTTCTTGTGTCTTCCAATACTTTGCGATGAGTATTCTTGCTGCTGTTGTTGCATACTGCTGCTGTTTTACTTATGAATCAGCAATGCTTCTGAATACCAGCTGTTGGAAACCACAGGAGGGGAGAGCGCTCTTGTGCTCGAATCCTGCTTTGCTGGTTTCCCACAGGCATCTGGTTGACCAGTGAGAGAACAGGATGCCGGGCTCTGCTTATGTTCTCTTCATCCAGCAGTTTAGTATGGGGGGAAAGACATCCAAAGCCCCACATATTTTTGAAAATTGAGAGCTCGTGCACACTCGTCCTAGACAGCAGAAGTCCAATAGGTTTTCCACTTGCCCCACGCTTACTAGGCATGGGTCTGAACAATTTTGCCTTTCCCCTGGAAACCTGCTCTTTAGTGCTAAATCAGAACAAATGGCAATCTGCAGAAAACCTGATTGCCATTTGTTCCGATTCAGTGCTAAGCCATGGGTTTACTTGGGGGAAAGCAGTGGGGCAAGCAGAAGTGTGGATAAGCCCCCATTCTTGCCTTCCCATCACTATGCTGCAGCTCTAAAACCTGTGTTCAGTTTACAGGGCTCAGCCTTCAAGCATGTGGCATCATTGCAGTGAATGCAGTAACTTGGAGCATCTTAACTGACAAAGTGCCACGCCGCGGTCAGCTCCACATTTCACCTCTGTGCTTTTTGGACATGGATGGGGGCCGGACCCCACCCTCAAAATATTTGAGGGGCTCAAAAGGGCTCAGCTCCCAGGAGCTGGTGTCCCTGATGTGCTTAGACTGTGTCTTTCCACTAAGTTATAGGGCAGCCACTAATCATGTATATTTGGCCTTTGGAAGTAGACCTTCCAGAGAAGAGGGCATGATGTCTACACAAGTATGTTCCTAGTACGTTTTGTTTTAGAAATTAAGCACTGCATACATTACCACAGTGCTTTCCACCTAAAACTGTAGGCCAACCAGCTTCTGATAATTGTTTGAATTTAGATTAATTTTTGTTTTACATGTTTCTATTTCCTGCCCTGAGGCCTTCGGATTATAAATGCTTATAATCAGGGGCTTCCGGGTTAGCGCCATCGCCGAATGGCGGACTCCCTCCGAGCTCCGGAGGGAGTCTGCTCGGCAGGGGCTGGGTCCTACCGCGCCGGCGACGCGGGGACCCTTAAAACCACGGGCACGGAGTCCGTGGACATGGGTGACTCGGCTTGCACCATTAGCGCCCTCCCGACCCGTGAAGGAGCCTTTTAAAGGCTTCGGATCGGGTGCCGGGGAGTGGCGTGGTGCTTTGAGTCCACTGCTTTCCTGCCGAGCGCAGCCGCATGCCATTCGACGGAGAGCGCTGACTTCTTCTATTGAAAATTTGACTATTAACAACAACCCGTGAGTAATTGGGAAACCGGGTTCAAAATTTTGGATTGGCACGAGCGGGGGCGATTTAAAAGGAAGTCAATCCCCCCCCCTATTGTAAGCATTCCAAAACAAGGACTGGGTAACCAAGGTCCAAAGGGAAGTATGTCTCTGATAAAAATCATTAATTTCACGATGGGAAATTATAAGAAATGTGCTGGAGGAGAAGAGTGGAGGGTGAGAAGAAAATGCAACCCCCCCCCTGGGAACCGGGGCGATTCGTGGAGCCTGGTGAAGAGAGACGGAGACTTTGACAGCTGTCAAAGTGGCTGTCAAAGCTGGAGAATATAAAGAGGACTTTGTTATGAGGACCTTGCTGGTTAATTTTGTTACAATTTGCTATAATATGGATATAAACTGTTGGAAAATAAGCAACAATTTGACTTTTGGATTAGAGGATACAAAGTTATTACAATCCCCATAGAGGGGTTTCGGGATACTACAAGAACGGTCGTAAGTGGAAAAATACCCTGGGATTCGTACAGGATTTGTTATCTTCTGGGAAAGCTGCAAAACTGAAAGAGTATTTTGTCTACAGAGGAAGACAATGGAATTTTTTATTGAAGAAAGAAAGGGACTGGACGTAAGTTTTTGTTCCTGAATAACAAACCTCTGCAGAGACACTAGATTTCTGAATTAGAAAGTTTTAGCAGCTGAACAGGACAAGAAACCTGAGAAAGTGAGGAATAAGAAGAATAAAGGACTGATTACGACACGGAAAGAACAACGGGAGGAGTGGTAAAGATCAAGGAAATTAAAGGCCTTTGTTAGATTGGACATTTGAAGTCAAATATTATTTAAATTAATAAACTAAAAGAAAACCGGCAAGATGGAATCGGGGAGAAATCTGGTCATGAAATGAGACTTCCAAGCTGATAATGTATAGACTGATGGACATGGGGAATTCAAACCGGGAAGGGGGGAGATTTGAAATCCAAAGGCTGTGTAACCATTTTTTGAATTTTTCTATATCTCTTATTTTCTATTTCTTTACATAACTTACGCATGTTATTTTACTTTGATCGGACGTGTTTAAAAAAAGGGAATTTGTGGAAGGAACTGGGGTGGATCTTGGGGAAAATCTTTTTTCTTTTTCTGTTAATGATGTGGGACGGTGGTAAGATTTGTACAATTCAATCTGGATAGTGGGTTAAACAAATTAAGCTTTAAATTGGGAGTGAGAGCTTGTAGAACCAAATTAAGGAAAGGGGAATACAATTGGAGGAGGGGGAGTCCCAGAACGTAGGGAATGAACGTAAGGTTTTTAAATATCTTCTTTCTTTTGTCTTTTTTCTTTGTATTTTTATATTTTTGGAAACTTTAATAAATATGATTTAAAAAAAAAATAAAAAAAAAATAAATGCTTATAATCAAATGTAAATAAATAATAGTTAAAACAAGAGCATAAAAAGCAGCCTAGGTTTACAGGCTTTAACTCCTGTAGAAGGTCCTTAATAGGACTTCTGTGCAGAGTTCCTGTATGTCCTCTGTATTCATGGAGATGTTCATTGTAATGACTGTAAAACAGAGTTGCTTTCCAAGCAAAGAGAGAGAGGCCAGATTTTCTAGAAAACCATCTTACTTTGAAGATGAGATCTATTTACAGAACCAATTTGTTTCCATGTATTACTTTAGAGGGTTTTAAGCAGGCAACCTAAATCCCCACAGCATCACAAGTAGTTGGGGGTGGGGGTGGGATGGGGGGGTATGGAGAGAAAGGGAGG